GCTTTGTTTTTTAAAAAGATCATTTTAAATCTGCTTTTCAGATTATGTAAACGTTTTAAAAAATAGTTTAAGGATTTTGAAAAATGGTCATTAACATTAAAATAAAAGCATGCTAGCATTTTTGTTGATGTGATTTACCTGCACAATATCATACAAATACATTCTCATTCTCACACAATATAGCAATATGCAATAGAAGTTAACCTTTAAAAAGTTAACCTTTTTCCATGTTAAAACATTAAGATGAGCGAATCACATAGTGAAATGTTGCAATATTATTAGGGCATGTCATCTATAATATTTTTCAAACACAGATTTCAAGGGCAGCTTAACAGCTGTTATATGCAAGCTTGTTTCCAGCACAGAATAAAACAATTTAAAAGATAATTGTGACTTTTTATCTTTTGATTTTCGCAATCGTGAGTTTATATCACGCTAGTCTGAGAACAAATGTCAGAATTGTGAGATAAAAAGTCACAGGTATCTTTACATTATTTTATTCTTTGCTGAAAACAAGCTTCCATAGTAAATGTCAATATCAGAAGTAAAAAAATGTGGCAGTTTTACATTTCCACGATGTCAAAATCAGATGTTTGTTGCATTCATGCATTTAATAGCAAATGCCTTTTTGTCTTGTTTTTCTGTAAAAAAAATCTAAACATTCTTAATTAAATTAATTTACTTGAAGAGCAAAATGAAAGTCTTGTTTTCTGAAAAAGATTAACAAATAAGTTTGTCCCAAGAAAAGTATCTGTCAGTGGGGTAAGAAAATAAACTTAATTCAAAGAGAAAACCATATCATATTTGGTAACACTTTACAATAGAATTTCATTAGTTAACATGAACTAAGAATCAATACTTCTACAGCATTTATTAACCTTAGTTAAGTTTAACATTTACCAATTCATTATTCAAATTAAAAGTTGTATTTGTTAACATTAGTTAATGCACTGTGAACTAACAAAAACAGCTGGATTTTTATTAACTACCATTAACAAAGATGAATAAATAATACTGTAACAAATGTATTGCTCATGTTAGTAAATGCATTTTTCTTATCACACGGACAGGTCATTTTGTTTTTTTCTTTTTGTATACTTTTATATATATATATATATATATAGATATAGGCAGACTTTTTTTAGATTCTGTAATGAAAAAGACAAAAATACTAAGAATTTTTTTTCTTGCAGTGACTAACATTCAATTAGCTTTGATAGTACAATCATAATAACCAGCAAATAAAATAAGTTGAAAATGGCAACTGTTGTCTGACTGCCATATCACTGAGCTTTACATCACAGGTTTTTTGTTAAGAGCATTAATCTCTGATAGATCAAAAGATGCGCTTTCATAGTTAAATAAGCCAAGAGCAGAGCTAAATCCAACAGACATTAAACCCTTGTGCACACATGTACCTTGGACCCAAAATAAACAGTTACTCACACTTTCTGGAACATGTCAAATCCAGTAAACGCTTGCAGAACAGATTCATACACTAAAAAATCATCAAAAGTCTAAGAATATTGCTAAAGACTCATGAATTACATGACCAAACCTCTCAAAAATATATAATGTATATCTCTTAGTCCTAAATCTGATATTTGTCCCCTCAGGCTCTCGTGTCCCTCAGCTTTGTTTTACTCAATATTGAACTTTCCTGCCACGTTGACGTCCTCATAGGATTTGAGAAGAAAACATTTGTCATTTGTCCAACACACAGTGATGGGAAGGTATTTGTCATGTTCTCATGACACTCATGGCAGACGTGCTGTTTAATCGACCTTTCTGACCTTTCCTGAACCGTTGAAGGAGAGCTGATGCTGATGATCATTCACTAATTAATTATATATTAAAAGATGAAAGATTAAAGAAAAGGGGCACTAATTTAACATAAATCCCCATCAGGGTACAAGAACATTTTCACTGTAAAAAAACGTTTGATCAATAATCATGACAACAAATGGATTTCCATTATTTTAACACATCAAAATAATATTTTAAGCTATAAACTACAGGCAAGATTTTTTTTAAATGGTTGAAATTACTATACAACCAGTTTGATTATACCTAATTTAAGGCAGCAACTGAACTTAAGTTAAGTTGAATTAGGGGAATTTTTTTTAACAGTTGTTTACATTGTTTTTGTATATTATTTAACCCGTTTGACCCCAAATGATGTTTGCACAAATTAAAAAGAATCTAATCTAATCTAATGCAGTGTTATCGGAATACTGTTAGACCTACCTGAAAATATTAAAACCGTGTTTATTTAATTTGTTTAATCTTTGTTCTGTTGTATTTATTTGTGCAGTTAACAGTCAGGACTAACAGATTCATGATTTATTATTGAATGCCGAATTCGTACATTATCACTTTGGTACATTGGACAGGCAATATAATAATAATAATAATAAAATGAATAATTAATAATTATAAATTAATAATTAATTCTTCCACCGAGAATCCCGATGCTCCCGATGGCCATTCTGGGCCTGCACCACCATTGTGTTTGATAACCAAATGCAGATAATATTTAAGAAATATTTGTATTTAATATGCCACGTTAAAAACAAGTTAAGAGTGGTTTATTGTAGTAGAAAGGGACAGAACAGGATCTTGCACAAGAACATTGTACAATCAGTACTAAAGATCTGAAGCTAATGCATGAGTAAACAATGATCAAATACACCGTTGAGCAAATGTTATTGAGCCTTGAGTGTCTGTGGCCTCATTTTAACACAATGAACAAGTTCCAACTCTTTAATTCCGCAGGGAATTCCTTACTGGAAGTGATTCACTCCTGAGTGCATGACAAGTGCTATATAAGAGATACGAGATACACATAAGTGCTTATGAACTTACAAAACTCTCAATACATCGCTTAGAAAGTAAGTTTTCACAGTATTATCCTAAAACTACACATTAGATATTTGCACTTAGCCTTCATCAGTTCAGATTTAATGATGCACAGATTTAATGTCTAAATTTCAACTTAATCAGTATACAATTTAACACTTTTGTATAATTTGACGCTGTCTGTAAAGCGCTTTAACACACGTTTTATAATTTGCCTGGTGCAAATGTAAGCTTAATCGCTTAGTAAAGTAACACCACACCTGACACATGAAATGAGGGATAATTCATGTCAAATCAAGTGTAATAGATAAGGTTATGGGTTTGTTCAAAGCTCTAACACTAACAGTGATGCTTGACATACAAGAACAGAGTACAGTTCATTTTCCTTTAACGGCATGTTTGTGTTTGCTATAAGCATCACTGAACACCCAGACAGCAACATAGTGTCGGCCCAGATCCGGCCCACATCTGGTACACGTGGATTTCACATGTACCAGATGTGGGCCAACACTATGTTACTGTCTGGGCAAGCTGATCAGCCAAAAATCAAAATTTCACCACAGACATACTCTTCTTAACTCAGATACTGAGTTTTGTTATTAATAATAATTATTATTATTTTCTCATCTCTAATCAACAGAAAAATGAAGACTTTGCTGGTGCCTCTTGTTCTTGTTCTGGTGTTGAACTATGGTGAGTTAAAGCTGCTGAAGTTTAATAACAACATAAAAAACCCCGTAAACCATTGTCTCAGTATGTTACTGAGTAGGTTAATGTATGTTAATGTGATTTATAAGTGTACATTACTTCAAAAAATGAATTGAAAAATAAAACCTCCTGAACTTTTTTCTCCATTGATGTCATATCACTGCTGTTTCTGGCTTCAAATGAAGCTAGCTAGAACAGTTTCTGTTCTACAGATCATAAACAATGTTCCTAATCTGACGAATCTGACTTATACAACATAATCATGTTGTGACTGAAAAATCCCCATACTAAAATTTCGCAATACTGTTACTATTTCTTACTGAGAGGGTTAAAAAAAGTTTTACATCAGTGCTGATTTATGCACATGTGTGCTATAATCCATTGCAGGATCTGCACTGAAATGCCACCACTGCGTTCCTCAGTCTGGAACACGCTGCATGCCATCTCAAGAGACCTGTGGCGTTGGAAAAGATGCCTGTATAGCGGCCAGATTCAACTTCCCTCCCTGTGAGTTTAAACTTTAAACTTTTTGTCAGTTGCACACTAAGAAATGCATTTAAATGTCCTGAAAAAAGTTATATATATATATAAAATGTATTAAATTATAAAAAAATTAATAATTGTAAAATGTGGAAAATAATAAAGAATGAGGAAGTCTGTCCAAACATTTGACATGAACCAGGATTATTATAATTAACTAAAACCTTAAAAAACTGTTTTGCTACTTGAAATTGTCACGAGTGGATTGCAGCAAGCACGAACGGAGTAACAAACAAATAAACAAACAAACAAACAGTCGTTACTTATAATCCGTAACACCCAGGAGAAGCGTGGGAGAGAAAGCAAAACCACAATATCCATAAACAAGAACTGACGAAGGACTGAACAGGGAGTGTACGGTATACATGGCAGACAAACAAAGAGACACAGGTGATAATCACAAGTAACCATAGAAACAAACGAGCACATAATCAGTTACCAAGTATACCAAAGCTAAACAGAACATAGGAAACAGATGCTGTGTCAGAAATCAAATACTTCCCTTCTATATAGTAAAAAAAGCTAGTTGCCAAGGAAATATTTCTTATTTTTATTTAGTTTAACTTGATGTATGAAAATAACAAAAAATTAAACTGAAATAAATGTATATTATATTTAATTAAATTAATAAAAATATATAGAAATAAACAATAAAAAAGGCAAAAAACAACAAAAGTAGGCTACTTAAACTTTAACTAAAATGAAAATGGAATATTTACAAATAAAAACTATTTTAAACTATTAATAAAAACTATATTAGTATCTCATTCAAACTAAAATAACACTCACATGGACGCTGCCAAACAGAAGCGGCTGTAGTTTGATTCTTTGCATTTCATTATACGCAGATAAATGTTCACTTTGTGATTAGATCAAGTCATGATGTTCATAAACTGCTTTTATATTTGTGTTTGATCTAGTCATGGGCTTTCGGAGATGCAGCAGTAAGACAGAGTGTGCTGTTCTCCAGAACAACACCGCCATGAAGACTAAATGCTGCCAGTCGGACCTCTGCAATAACGTGATCATCATGTAGACTGAGTTCTGTCAACTCAACATTAAACTGCTAATAAACCTTTTATGTTTACAATACAGTTCAAGAGGCTTCACCACCAGCTCTCTGATTTATGTTTCTTTTCCTCACGGAACAATACAAATAAAAAATTTACACACATTGTCAGAATGTCCTCTGCTTTTTGATTCATGCAGACAGTGATACTGTTTGTTCCTTTTATTCAGGCTTTTATTCACATATTAACATTCATCAACTCACGTATCAGTTGTGGTAAACTGAAGCTCAAGCATGTTCGCGGTTCATTCTCATGTTACGCAGCACGTGAGCTTCTGGAAAACGTTTGTTCTCGCACGTCAAGCAGGTTCGGTTGAGCTTATATTTGCTGATCAATGTTTATATGTGAATTAAAGCCTAAATTAAATCTGTTCATCACATAAAGAGTTTGGACTAAACTGCTCAATTCATATGGATTATGATTATGATCTCTTTATGAACTTTTTGAAGTTGCATAGCTGTCAATGGAGGGACAGAAATCTCTCAGATTTCATCAAAAAGATCTTCATTTGTGTTCCCAAGAGTAGGCCTAATTACATTCTTACGGGTTTGGAACGACATGAGTAATTAATGACAGAATTTTCCTTTTTGGGTGAATATCCCTTAAACAGTAGATCGATGTAAACCTGCAGCTTCCAGTCCAGACCACTTGGTGTCGCTCTCAACTCAAACCTATTTTTTTTTTTTTTTTTACAATCGCTATGTCATATTTCTCAATACTTAGGTCACTTTTTCAAAACTCTTCCCACAGTGAGCACAACAGCAGCTTATGTGGGCTAAACTATGGATCATTTATCATTGCTTTGGCACAAAATGCATCCAATGACAAAATCTTTCAAATTACATTAATTATTTTCTCACTTAGACACAGACACAACCAAAACTATGTACTTACAGGCCAATATGCACATGATTACATACTCTTTTCAAAACTTAAAGCTGCAGTCCGTAGTTTTTAAGTTCAAAACCGAACATAATACAAAAATGAATGAGACAGCAATTTGCTACATTTCTACAGTAATATAATATACAGTAATATCATAATATCAAATATATTCTGAATCTAAAAATGAAATACCGTACTAACATTCGGTATTCTTATGGATTATATTTGTACTTCTTATGCATCAGTTGTGATTATATTATGACTATTTTAATTCCTTTTCTATAAAGCACTGTATGAAATGTGCCATTTAAATACAGCAAACTTGCCTTATCTATACAAACGGGGAACAATGTTTGTACTGTATAAAATAGCACCATGATGTAAAATATACTGGAGTGAATTGTAAACAGTAGGCTAATGTTTCATTCTCGTTTTGTGAAGAAATTTTACAAGAAAACATTGTGTAATGCTACATGTTGTTTGTGTTCTTTAGGCCATTGTTTAATGAGCAACACATTGTGTTTGTTGGATGAAACCTTTGTGAAGTGAAGAATGGGTTGATTTGAGATATGAATGAAGTGTTTTGGTAGTTGCAGTGCGTTTTAAAAGTGAAATTAACTGCTGTGCAAAGATGTAAGTTGGTTAGGAGAACAGCATAAAGAGTTTTAAAAAAGTATTGAGAAATCAGTCCTATTGTGAATGTAAAAAACTGTAACAAAAATAAAAAAAATGCAGAAAGACCGCCATTTGCTACATTTCTACAGTAATACAATTTTGAAATATGTTCCAAGTCTAAAAAATTAAAGACTTACCAAAATGATAAGATAGCTGAACACATACACAGGTTTTAGTCTTTTACTTTCATTACCATCTATTGCATTTTTTCTCAATCGATTTGGCTCAATTTTTTCCCTCAAAACAATAAATTCAGAGCTCTGAACAATTAGTTTCTTTTTCACATCAGATTTGAATTTCTTATTGATTTAAGCAAATTGCATGTGTTTAGGCCCATGTGTGCAAAAGTAAGTACAACAATTTGCATAATAATTAAATGCACATGGCTTGTTTATCAAAACTGACGAGTTGATTCTTAGTGAAATTGTCAAACTCTTCACAACTTCTAAACATTATTTTATCGTGTGTGCCATCACATGCAAAATTATGCATTTATCAAAATCTGTCAGACATGTATGTATATTATAAATATCTGACATGGACTGTTTGATAAATTTGCAAATAGCCTGACATTGGAAATGGACACGGCTGCCAAAGGAAGAGCGGCTGTGTCCTCACTCCACAAGTGGAAACAGAGCTGCGCTTTCTGACATACTGCCCTAATTATACACACATTAGGGACACTTTCTATCCCAATTTCACATCCCAAGACCTCCATCAGAAAACAAATATGGACAAACTCCCATACCAGCTAAGCCCAGCTAGCTCAAACCTGGCTGCCAGGAATGTGAGGTCCTGTCCCGACAAAAGAGCCTCCAGCGGGACAGAGCTACCAACACACTCACTATATGCCTAGAGACACTGTTATAAATATCACAAGATTAAACATTTTTATTGTTATGTTTATTTTCATGTTAAAATTTCATTTTTTCTTCATTATTATTATTTTATTATTAACTATTTGATTTCTATTGTATAGTGTTATTAATGCTTTGGCAATGTAAAGATTTTTTTCACCATGCCAATAAAGCTTTTTGAATCTTGAATCTTGAAAGGACTCAAAAGACATGGTTGGGTGTCCATTCAAACACCCACACCTCACCAATGCAAAAGAAACAAAGTAAGGAAGGAGTGTCTACTTATAGACCTTGACCAGAGGTGTGTGGGTAATGTAGTACACTAGACTTGGTAGTGTATGTCGCTAAATATATATATATATATATATATGGGTGGGAAAAAGGTAAGAACTGAAAAAGTTTAATGGGTCAAGGTCTGGTTGAGTTGCGTTAGTAGTGTGTTGAAACTTGCTGTTATGGTAAAGGTGTGTGACATTTCCCAAACACACTCAAAACGCTTGACCAATCACAACACACTGGTCCAGCCAGCCAATCAGAGCACATTGCGCTTTTCAGAAGGAGGGGCTTCATAGTGTCACGATTACCAGTGAGAGTGCCCATCATTACCACCAGAGGGCACTCCAACCCTGGACTATTGTCATTCTCTAATGAAAGTACATTTCCCATAACTCTCTGGCTGGACTCATCAACCCTGATTCACCTGTGTCTCATTACCTTGTTTAACTCACCCTGTAAAGGCCAAGGGGGTAATCCATCGACCGGAAGTTGAAGCCGGCCGGGTGCCGCCATCTTGTAGCAGAACTTCACTTGCGTTAGCATTTCCATTGACTCCCATTCATTTTGGCGTCATTTTGACAGCGAATAACTTTACATCTGAGGCGTTTAAAGACTCCATTTGTCCATTATTTATTTCTAAAGAAACACGACAATGTATAAAGGGCTCCATTACCTTCTATGTTACATTATGGCCCCGTAGAAACCGATTTTGTAAAAATAGGCTAACGATTGCGTCATAACCACTCGACTCTCTGTCGCGCTGTACAGAAATTACCGTACAGACAGGAGGAGAAGCTCGCAGGCAATCGGGGGGACGTCCCGTCAAGGGAGAAGCCCATAGATAATGAGTCCATAAAAGCAACGGAATACTTACTCCTGCTCACTCACGCCAAAGAACTCTTTGCTCAAGTTCCCCGTCTCTGCAAGATTAACGTTGGCCATTTTCACGCACAGCTACTAGAAGATTTACGTCTGTCAGACAGGTTGCTCACGTCATCAAGCTTAGTTTGAGTCGGTTTGAGTCTGCGCGTCAGGAACGGAAGTGCTCAAAAATCGCTTAAAATGGGCTTCAACTGTCTCAACTGAGTTCCAATGAGATGGCTCTGTCCACTTCTTATACTGTCTATGGTAATAGCCTGGTTTTCACATTCATTCCCTGCGAAGTCTTGTTTAGTGTTACACTGCAATTCCGAGCATTCTCACTGGTTTCATGACTCTTGGTTTTTGGATTTCTTGCCTGTTCCTTGTATTATTCTTTTGCCCGTGTTCCCTGCCTTGTTGTGTTTGATATTGTTTGGACTGATTAGCCGGTGTTTATGACCTTTGCCTGTTTTCGACTACGATTGTGGATTACTTTCAATAAAAACAAAGTAATAAAACTCCATTTGGATCCTCAACCTTCGTGTCTCGGAGCAGTTCGTGACACATAGAGACAGGAACGAAACCGAGCGTTACTGACAGACTTGGAAGAGAAAATCTGCAATAGTGTAAAATATGTGAATAATATGTGTTTTTGTTTATATATATATATATATAGGTAGATCCAAAAAATAAACTCCAACCCTAATAATCAGGATCTTCAGAGTAGCAGGGGAGTTTGATCAGGGGTTGAGCTAAACACTGCAGGGCTAAAAACTCTGCAGATTTGAGGAACCATTATCTGTAAACATTTGATCAAATGTTCCAGTAAATTAAGCACATTTAATACGATAAGGGAAAAACAATGTATCTTTTGTTGTACAACTGGACAAGACCAGATCAGATCAGAACAAAACAAAAGTTACACAACCACACTGACCATGCAATAAACCAATAAAAGTGGCACGTATCATCTGAAACTTAGCCAAGAGCACACAATGATCAAATTGTGTTACTAGTTTCTTTGGCCTGAATCCAACAAGGAATTTCCAATTCCTGACAAAGATTCCTGGAACTTTACAGGCAGAATCACAGTATATAAGGGACACACACAACACAGGTGTGTACTACATTCAGCTCTGCTTCACAGTCAAGGTACGTTTACAGCATTATGAAACTTTTTATTATATATATATATATATATATATATATATATATATATATATATATATATATATATATATATATATATACTGTATATATATAAACTGTATATAAGAGTGTAATAAGTTCAATTCAGTTCATATTAATTGTACTTTTTTAATGGGAGAATTGTATGAAAATAGGAAAATAAGTATTGGACCTCGACAAGCATAACTGTGTTTTAATAACTCTTTGACAGTCCTATTGTTCTCTGATTAGTCTAGAATAAGAAATGAAAAGATAATTTAACAATAATTTTGAGAAAACTGTTGAAAACGTGCTGATCATTTCCTAAATAACTGCATTTTGCATTGTAAAATATTTTCATGAAAACAACCATATTAAATATAATTCACCTCAAGGTCTCGGTATCATCATAATGCAATACATTGCAGTAGTTATGAGAATCAAACTTTAAAATCAGCTAAATAAATGTCACAATTAAATACAACAATTGTTACCATGCTATGCATATAGTTTACCTTTTGAATAAATTATAAAAAGTCACAATATAAAAACAATTCAAAATGATCCCAAAAATTGAATTGAGTCCATAAATGTATTTTTCCAATTATATAATAATAGTAATACAATTAATAATAATTATATAACAATGACACGTTTTCAAATTCATATTAGTGGTCTAAGAACTGCAATTCAAAAGAAATATAGGGACATATATAATTTGAACAACCTAAACTACATGAATTTATTGCTCATTAAAATATGAGGGTGCATTAAATATTTCATAACTGTTGTCAAAGAATGAGCATGGGTGATACTTTAACACTGTTCTAATAAAAAAATATGATTGATTAGTAAATGGATTTTTTTTTTTTTATTATGATTATGACTTTATTCAACAGAATGATGAAGGTCCTGCTGCTGGCTCTTGTTCTCACCCTGGTGTTGGCGAATGGTGGGTTTGCATGTTTAAAGGGATAGTTCACTTTGAAATAAATTTTTGATATGTTTTAGCTTACCTCAAGGGCATCCAAGATGTAGGTGTCTTTGTTTCCAATTTTGATATTTTTAGGTCAAACCGTTCTTGTCTGTCAGTCATATAATGCAGGTCTATGGTCACCACCTCAAAGAGCATGCACAGAGAAGTCCAAATTAAACATGATTTAATGACTCGTAAATGTAAGTACACATTGATGGTCTAAGACAAGAAACGAGTGGTTTGTGTGATAAAACGAACAGTATTTATATCGTTTTTACCTCTTGTAGCGCACAGACCGAAGCGCCCGCGCCCTCAGATCACTTGGACGTGGCTGTGGTTACAAGAGGTAAAAACGATATAAATACTGTTCGTTTTCTCACACAAACCGCTCGTTTCGTGTCTTAGGCCATCAATGTGTACTTACATTTACGAGTCATTAAATCATGTTTAATTTGGACTTCTCTGTGCATGCTCTTTGAGGTGGTGACCATAGACCTGCAGTATATGACTGACATACAAGAACGGTTTGACCTAAAAATATCAAAATTGAAACTACTGCGGAAACAAAGACACCTACATCTTGGATGCCCTTGAGGTAAGCTAAAACATATCAAAAATTGATTTCAAAGTGAACTATCCCTTTAAAGCCAGAGGTCAAGTGTCTTAGCACAGCCGTTGTGCACAACTCCTTTATCCAAGGAGTCTGATTGTGCATACCAGTAATCTGTCATGTTTTTACTGCAATCAAAAGCTAAATGTTTCCATCTTGATGCAATAGTTAGTGTCATATGTTTTGCAATAGTTCATAATTGCTTAACTGTGTTGTAGTCTCTGCCCTGAAATGTCACAACTGTGTCCCCCGCTCTGGAGGAAGATGTGTGACCACTCAGGAGACATGTGGCTATAAAAAAGACGCCTGTGTATCTGCCAGATTCACCACATATCCCTGTGAGTCTCTATCTTAAATTGTCATGTGTTGAATGGATTTTGCACACAAATATAGAACGTTTAGAAAGACGTACAGCAAAATATGTCAAGATGAACAAAGACACTCATTTACTTTTCAATTCTTTTACATTCCTCTAGTTTCCTACTTCCGGAGGTGCATTGGCATGGGAGATTGCCTGATTCTTCAATCGAGTCCCTATATTACAGCCACGTGCTGTCAGTCAGACCTGTGCAATTAACTTTAGACACACATATACAGTCTTAAAGGGACAGTTACTCAAACTACTTACTAATGCAAGGCCAACATAGGATGTTACAAAACAAGTAAATTTTAATTTGTGTGAATCTGTAGGCTACTATATTATTCACATTTGTATTCATAAGCTATAATCATACCACAGCCAAACATGATTGTTGCATGAATAAAATGATGCATTAAAGACATGATTTTGTAAGAAGCCTTACTGTGTCTTCAAGTCCAAGTTTTTTGTTCATTTTTCACATGACAGATGCAAAATGAATAAATCATTCATAAATGAGCATTTACTATATAGGTCATTCTGGTGTTAAAATGAAAATGAGAACAATATAGAGCATAACTAAGACTACTGTGGCAGTTAGCAGTATTGTTCTGTTGATAAACACTCTTAAAATAAAGTTGGCCTCTATGGTTCCATGAAGAACCTTTTACATATTAATAAAAAGTTCGTTATAGTGTAAAAAAAGGGTTCTTTAGATTATAAAATGTTCTTTACACCAAGAAAAAATTAAGAAATGTTTACTGAAAGGTTCTTTAGGGAGCCAAAAATGGTTCTTATGGCATTTCTAAACCCCTTCTGGAACCATTATTTTTACAGGTGTGTTCACACTCGCAAGGTTTGGATTCAAACTAACTCAGGTGCGATTGCTCTTTTAGTGCGATTCATTTGAGTAAATGTGCCATCTGAACCCAAGCGTGTAAACCAGGCAAGTGGATTGAAACCCCTGAAAAGTTGGGCCTCAGTACACAAATGAATTCTGGTTCAGTTGCGCTTAAATATGCCTACAACATGAACCAAAGACATCTAAACGAAAACTATAAAAACAGGACGTGATGTCACAGTAAAAAGGACAGAAAGGTCTAGCACTCGCTGTGTCCGAAAAAAAATCACATAGTGTAAGTGTATGGTACTGTCTGATTTGAAACTTATTACTGGGCCATGATGGACAGAGGCCACTGGGCAAATTTGGGATTTTTTGTGACCACAGAGTTTTGGGTAAATTAATTTTGGGTACCCAGTTTAATTGGTAAATTAATTCATCACAGAGATAAATTCGACACACACACAGACTCACTGTCCACATAAAATGAAACTATGGAATGTCTGGTGGGTGCTTTCTCCAAGCTTCTTTCACAGGGTTCTGGATGCTTTATTTTTTTGCTAAACAGCAGATGGCGCTGTGTTCGACACTCTCGAAGCTTTGAATCCTTTCCCAATCAAATCGACAAAAATAAATCAGGGGAAAACCTCAGTGCTTCATTTGCGGATCCGGTATTGCAGTTGATGGTAGATCGTGAAAGAGAAGAGGGTTGACCAAATAAGCACACATCTCGTCTTGATGGTGATAATAGACTGGTCATCGAATTGACTCACAGGTAGACAAACTGAAGCAAAGCAAAAACATAAACAAGCTTTGGGGATGAAGATAAGAGTCCTATCTCAAAAGGAGACCAGACAGTAGGCGAGGTGTGTGCTTATATGTGTGTTGATGAGGTGATCATCAGTGGCAGGTGCGGGTGATGGCTGAATGAGTGCAGGTGAGGATCAGGAGGGATGCTGGGAAGTGTAGTCCAGAGTGCGAGTGAGGGAGTATAGCAGTGAAGGAGGACCGGTACACTCGTGACGTGAAAGTATGAAAGTAGGCATATTCGGACTCTGCACTGTTTTTTCTTGTCATAGTCGCGATGTTGCCCATACAGTTTGGTACAAGGGTCGGAAACACCGTGTCCTTGCAGAAGATCTTTGTGTTTATGTGTGCAACGGAGGGATTCTTGCCGCTGTTTTGACTCCTTCACATATTTTATAAACTTTTCACAAGTAGTTCTACTCAGCGGGTAAAAAATACCATATGCACATAAAATGTGCGCTTTTAGCACACAGCATTGTTTTGGATGTTTGGTAATCCCATCGCAAAAAAAAAGAAGAAAAAAAGTCATAAAAGCAGTTTTTTTTGTGTGTGTGTATCGGTTCAGTCTTAAAAATGACAGTGTGAAGTAGGCTACCAAAGTAAAATTCTTTTTGGTCTGGTCCAAAAGAACTGTACTACACGTGTGAACACACCCAACGGTCACATAACGCGTTTTGTAGGTCAGTTCAATGTTCAGTTCCTTTGAATTACTGTGTAAAGATCATCAAATATGAGATTAGTTAAATTTAGTTATAAAGCAGCTCTGTAGAAAACAGTGATATCATCGTCAAGCTCAGTTCAGTCTCTTCCAATAGTCTCAGTGCAGTCAAATCAATAATTTTGCGGAATATTATGTGCCCCACTCAGCAAGTCAAAGGTGACAGTGGCAAGGAACCCAAACTATCAGGTGACATAAATGGAGAAAAAACCTTGGGAGAAACCAGACTCAGTAGAGGGACCAGTTTTCCTCTGGCCAACGAACCAATGTTAATAGGCTTTATGCACAGCTTCACTACTGCCTGAACTTCAGCCAGCCCTTTGTTTCCTGTCTGTCATTATTGGACAAACTGATTAATCCAGGTGTGCCTGATTATTGTTACTGAGGCCAGGCACACCTGGATTAATCAGTTTGTCCAATAATGACAGACAGGAAACAAAGGGCTGGCTGAAGTTCAGGAAGTAGTGAAGCTGTGGCATAAAGCCAATTCCAGGCTGCATCACAAGTCAGATTGTGGATTGGGATCATTGGTATCATTCCTGAAACAAATGACTCTTATGAGCCGGTTCTTTTAATTAATAGCTCAAAAGGACGAGTTTCCAGTATGAATTAGTTTGCCCTATATCATTTAAGCAGAGAGATTTCTGTTAGACATATGTTAGATGCAGTGCACCCATGCAGCCCTTATTATAAAGTCAGCATTTTTTTGGCCTCAAAATCCAATGAATTTGTAATATTGTGTTGTGATAATAACAAAACTCCCATAGTTTTCTTTATCTGTCCAAAAAAGAAATTGCAGCTATAATTCAGATTAACAATCAAAAATAGGAGGTCAAGTCTATACATCACACTTTTGCCTTGTATTGTAGATCATCCAGTTATTCTATGCAAACACACATTTCACATACTAGACATTATACTTAGCCTACTATATAATACAAATCTAGAAAATATTGCATGCATTGATTAGGTCACTAAAGCAGAGGTCTTCAACCCTGCTCCTGGGGAACCACTGTCCTCCAGAGTTTAGCTCCAAACACCTGGACCAGCTAAAAGAGCTCTTCAGGATCACTTGAAAATCACAAGCTGAAGCAGGTTCAAGGTTGGATATAAACTTCGCTGGGCAGTGGGTCTCCGGGAACAGGGTTGAAGACCTCAGAGTCAGAACCCAAAATAGAGAGACATTTAGAGCAGTATATATGGCCTCTGCCTCTAGAGGACACTCCATGTTTCAAGATCAGTGTTTCCCAGTTTGGGCTTGTCTGCCTGGATGGTAAACCTTATTCTGTGAATCTTTAGCATTCGCTGACTCCACAATAACATGCTGTTGGTAGCAGGAAAAGCTTGGGATAGCTTTCACAGAACAACAACTACCAATTAGACAGTATTACAGTTCAGTCAAATCTGACTTAAAGGGATAGTTCACCCAAAATTGAAAGTTCTGTCATTAATACTCACTTTCATCTGACTTTCGTTCGTCTTCAGAACACAAATGAAGATCTTTTTGATGAAATCTGAGAGCTTTCTGTCCCTTTATTGACAGCTACTCAACTACCTCTTTGATGCTTTAAAACATTCATAAACTAATCTATATGAATTGAATGGTTTTGTCCAAATTTTCTGAAGAGATTCGATTGCTTTATATCAGTGGTTCTCAACCTTCTCCTGCAGGGACCCCCAGGACATGTTTTTGTTTTCTCCCTGAAATTGCACACCTGATTCAGTTAGTCAGCTACACATTAAGCCTTTGAGCAGAGCATGTCTAATAAGGGGAGGACTTCCACTCTCAGTAAACTTCCGGCTTCTGAACTGGTTGCAGTTCCACTCTGGTTCCATATGAGGGCGCTCACATGACGAGTGCAGAATGAACGGAGGTCTATGGAGCTATACCCCTCAAAATCCACTTTTCTCAGGATATCATTTTTTGTCTAGAAATTTGAATGTTGTATTCGAAACGAGATGCAAAGAAATTACACATTGTTGGGTGTTAGATTTTTTTGGAGTCACTTATTTGCTTTAAAAAGTCTTTTAAAATGTCAATGACGTCATCGTACAACCAGAGATACTGCTTAACGGCAATCCTTCAGGCACATTTGTAACCCCGTCATCTCGCAAGAGATGAGGAGAACTCAAAAGGGCCACAGTGTGTTTCGTTGCAAAGATAAAGCTCATTGCACAATATTCACAAGGATCACATGGGATATTCAGAACTGGCAAAGAGAGAAAACAAACAAAATTGTAACCGTTACAGACAACAGGGTTCCCAATCCTATCCAATGGAAATTGCTCTGAAACTGTGTGCACACTCACAAGTTCACCAAACACAAATTCACTCCAACCTCCACAATGGTAAAGTAAATCAAACCACTACAATCTATTCCCCAAACCTTAACAGAGTAAACCGGTAACGCTTTAGATTACAGCCCGGAAAGTACTGTGTAATTAAGAGGAATTTACAGAGTAACTTTCGGTAATTATAGTGTACCTATAAAGTACTTGCATGTAAGTATGAGGGAACAATATGTAACGTTTGGGGAATAAAGTGGTAACAACCAGGAGAATTAAAAAAATATTTATACTGTAAGTATTATAGAACTAAGGGTAACTTATTCTACTATTATGATACAACAATCTTACATTTGGGAGCAATTTAGCGATACACATTGCTTACCTTTTTGTAATAATTGTATACCAATACATACTGTATATGCTTTTTTTAAATTACAGGGTAGATATCTATGCATTTATACTTTTATTTATTTATTTTATGATAGTAAAAGTGCAGATGTTTAAGTTGGGCTAACATGTTTCAAGGCAAGAAAAGCTAAGACTATTGCAATTTTTTTAAATACTGGGAAATATATCTTGTTTCATGTGGTTACAGGGTAAGTGGTGCTTGTATAATAAATAAAGGTTTCCGAGTCAGTGATATAAGATTGTGTGTATACATTTTTATTGTTACCCTGGCCTGTAACTACATGGAACAAGGGGGTAACAAGCACCACTTTAATTTACGGCCCGCAATGTCACACTTACCCTATAACTACATGGAACAAGGGGGTAACAAGCTACATGAAACAAGAGTATCTTTCCACATTTAAGCAAAAGTTGCAATAGTCTGTATTATGTATACCCTGTAATTTTAAAAATTACAGGGTATACATCTATGCATTTATAAAGCCTATACAGTATGTACTGGTTCACCATTATTTCAAAAAGGTACGCAGTGTATGTTCTCGCTAAATTGCTCCCAAATGTAAGATTGTTATATCATAATAGTAGAATAAGTACCCCTTAGTTCTATAATACTTACAGTATAAATAATTTTTTAATTCTCCTGGTTGTTACCCCTTTATTCCCCAAACTTAAAATATTGTTCTCTTATACTTATATTGTAAGTACATTATAGGTACACTATAATTACCGAAGGTTACGCTGTAAAATTGCTTTAATTACGCAGTACTTTCCGGGCTGTAATCTAAAGCGTTACCAGTAAACCATATACAAGAAAATGGGAACCCCACCGTCAGTTGTAGGTCCAAAACAAAACACAAAAACAATTTCACAAATTAAATCAATCACTTTGCCACTTCCATACACAAGACTCAATTCAACATCTCTTCAGACACCCATTAAGCCACCAATGCTTTCAATAAAGTAAACGGCAATCATGCATCATCTTTGTGTCTTTGTAATGTGTGCAAATCTGTTGCTTTTGTTTTCTCACCGGTTTTTTTTTCTGCCTGCGTTTTTTGCCTTTATGATTTTTCTCAAAGTAAAAAGCTGAGAATGGCCTACCACAAAGAGGTGCTTTCGCGCTCTGCACTTTCTTTTCTCTCGAGACAGCTGACACAGGTAAATACACATGCTAGAAGAGTTTTTGTAAAACTAAAGTTCTTAACATTGTGGTCCTGCTTCGGATGCCACGATTCCATCAAGCGGTATCTCTGGGCATAATCAGTCCTTCACTGACCAACCAGCATCCATTAGCAGAATGCTAGCGTGTTATGGGCAACAACAACTCAACCTGTAAGAAATCGAAAGGACATAAGTACTCGTTCATTCAACTTTCGACCTAGAACCCATGTTGAACTTGCAAAACCTACTATCAAATCTGAGATTTCTCAACGGCAATCGGGCGAAAGAAACTAATTTAGCCGTCTAGCTCCATAGACTCCCATTCATGGGCGATCGCCCCCAGTGGAAATCTGGTGGAACTACAACCAAAATTCGGTACAATAGGACTTAAAGCTGCAGTAGGGAGTTTTGAGAAAACGTTGACTTAGCCTGAAAATTTGAACAAGCACAACTTCCAGGTCCCACCCCCTTGCTCTCTGCTGCGCTAAAGCCCTCCCTCCACAGCTCGTCCTCCACAGCGGAGCCTGTCGTGAACGCGCAGGCTAGTAAACAGGGCCACCCATAACAGCGGATAAAAAGTTATATGGCACATTCACTAATAGGGACTAAACGTCAATAATATGCTTTACATTGACTATGGCCTGCCCATACTTTGACTACAAAATTGGTCCTCAAATCATTATGTATTTTCCAATAGCCTACATGTAACTTTATAACGTTGCACTCTTTCTATAAGTTATAAATAGCCAGTAAGATAACGTTAATAAAACGGTAACTAACGTTACAGTATGTAAGTAATTATTCTAGCGATATATAATGCTAGATAAGGTGTGCTAGTACATTATTTCAGCAACATGACAAGCCAGTGAATTAGCAGGTTTCAATTGTTGCTTAGCAGAGTGCGTGACATTTTATCTACATGTTATGCGGCTAGAGTTTTGACACCGAGTCAATGGGTTTTGTGTAATTCTTTCTTTTTCGCTTGTTTATCGTCATCGGTCTTTTTCCTTTTACCTCTTTGTTTTATGAGCAGGTGTCACTCGAGAATTGGCAGTTTAGGTTGTTTCTCCGTCATAAGCACAGCTGCAGCACGCCGGCAATCTTGAGTTTGAACGACGGCTCGCGCTGTGCAAGAGAGGGGTGTGATCAGCGCGTACACGAGCGTGATTGACACTGCTAAGACATTCCTCCTGGCTCTGATTGGTTGTTTCTGACCGGGAGTGTGTATTTCTTGCAAATGGCAATAGGACCACTGGGAGGAGCCAGAGTAGCTTGATTTTTACACCGATTATCTTTCTCATATTCTACTGTCAGGACATAATGACAGTTTTAGCAAATACATGTTTTCAAAAGTTACCTACAGGAGCTTTAAAGGACAAGTTCGGTATTTTACACTTAAAGCCCTGTTTTAAGATCGTTTCTGATGAAATAGAACAGTTAAGATTGAAATTTGGACACATGCTGCTGGCCCGAGAATTTTCGGGACTGTGGTTTTTCTGTGGTTGCACCCCAGGGGGTCCCTGCAGGAGACGTTGAGAACCACTGCTTTATATGATGAACAGATTGAATTTAGGCTTTTATTCACATATTCATCAACTCACACATTAGTTGTGGTAAACAGAAGCTCAAGTTCGCTTGACGTGGAAGAACCAACGAGGTTCATTCTCGTGTTACGCAGCACGTGTGAGCTTCTGAAAGAGGTTTGTTCTCTTGCTTCAAGCAGGTTTGGTTGAGCTTCTTTATGTTTATGTTCGCTGATCAATGTTAAGGAATAAAAGCCTTAATTAAATCTGTTCATATAAAGCGATTGAATCTTTTCAGAAAATTTGGACTAAACTGCTCAATTCATATGGATTAGTTTTACAATCTCTTTTTATCTCATCTTTTCCAAAGATGAACGATTGTCTTACGGGTTTGGAACGACATGGGTGAGAAATTAATGACAGAATTTAAATTTAAAGGTCAACTATCACTTTAAATGAGTTAACCCAACTCATTTTAGTTAGTAGTGTACTTTGTGATCTGAATTGGGTGGGTTAGATTGTGAGATCAGAGAAGCGGATGTTTTATGGATGAATCAGACCAGATGAGTTACTCTGCTCATGATGATGTATTTCCTAACAGCTTTTTTCTGAATGGATTTTTGTTCAGATAAGAAAAAAAAGACACACCCTCATAGCTTAATCTTGCTGACACATTTGGACGTGCCACCTTAATTTTTTTCCCTTACTGCAGACTCTATGAAGTCATAACTTATCAATCAAAGTATTCACGTACTATATGCTATGAAATATATAGGCTAACCATGAATCAGAGAGTGTAAAGTTTGTGTCCGTCACTCTTCTTACTCATTTCCTGAGTCTCTATAATTTTGCAGAGAAAGGTTGCTTTACTCAATACTCATTTAGTCTTGACGTCAAAGCTATGTCATGCCTACCAGTAATTTTTTTCTCTTTTCGGTCATAAATTGCGAAATAAACTCTGGGTACTCTTCATGTATCATGCAAAAAAATATTATTTCTTATTAAGAAGAAAGTGAGAGTGATACAAGTGTTATGAGAAACATAAAACTAGTACAGTTGCTTGAGAAAATCTCAAGTCTGGGATGGCAAGGGTCAAAAATAAAGTTTAACATTACAATACAAAAGTATTTTACCGCAGAATGATGCCATTTACCAATTAATATGGAAGAATAAGTGATAACATTGTATTAATTTAGTCAGACACTTGTGTAACTGCACACTGAGGTTTTCTTTTCCTGTACAATGGTTTTACTGGAAACCACATACAGTACTTTCAAAACTTTCCACTGACCTGATGAACTTCTGCTGACTGTCTCATCAGTTACACATTGTGTTTGTGTAAAAGAATGCAGCACATTACAAAAAGTATCAACGAACCTTTAAAAAAAAAGCAGACACAATGACAACAACAACAAAAAAAGCCTAATTCCCATAACCATATATATGAAAGGATTCTGTGTTGACAAGTTTCTATGAAAACAGGCAAATGTGGGAGGCATATTAAAGAGAGAAACATTCTCATTCTAGAGACTATTTGTCTGGACAAAAATATGGATACGCCTCTGATTGCAGGATGATGTCATCAATTTTCTTGAGAAAGTGGATTTTAAATGTGTATGTCTGATTACATTTTATTTAGTCAACTTAGTAGTTAGCAATTAAAAGACTTGGACTAAAAGACTCAAAAGTCCAAATTTGATTTTATGATGTCTTAAATATAAACTTGGTCTATTGCTTTTGATGGAACGATTCACCCTGTGGATTGTGGGACGGTCTTGTTGAATTATAATAATTTGACAGAACACAATACACATTGCTTTGATCTTATTGCATAACACACTGTGGTAGTACTTTAAAGTAACATTTATGCCTTAATGTAGGCAAATGTAATAATGTTTTAACCAACAAACTTAAAAACAAAATAGAAAAACAGATCTTTATGAAAGCTTCACTTTCACTTCCTCTAAACTATTATTAGGGCAGAAAGGGAAATGATTGCTCTTGTGAGATACCCCGCAGTCCTTTCAAATAATTATTTAGAATAAAGTTAAATATCAAGACTGGTAATGGTAGGCTACTGTAAGCGTTCATATCCCAAATGTCTTTAATAAGACTTTAATAAGACTTTAGGAAAACTGTCCATTTCACAAGTTAAGGGGAGACTGGGGACAAGTACATTTTAACATTTTACTTCATTCTAGAAAAAATAGCACTACCATTTAGAAATTTACATGGTAAAAGACTAGATCATAATCTTCAAGAAAAAAAGAAAAAAAAGAAGAAAAAAAAAAGATATATATATATATATATATTTATTGGAGATTATGATCTAGTTATTATTGATATTTAGATTCTGTCTCTAATGTAAGCAAATTTATGACACTGACCATGTGAACTACTTTATGAAATGTATTGATATGATAGATTGATCGCTATAAAAACACGTCATTGCCGGGGTGGGCGTCTAGTCTGTCTCTGATGGGCGTATAGCCTAACTCGGTTTATATGTGCTAGTCTTAGTACGAGTTTTGCGCGTACTGCACTCATTTGAAGAACACTATCGGAATCCCGTGAAGAAAACCATACAAAAGTAAGGCGAAATCTTTTATTTTTATTTTTTTTGTTCAATGACTTTCTGTCAGTCGTGTTTGATCTGTGCAGAAGTATTACTTGACTTTGCGTGGTCTCGCGCGCTGTCCAGAACGAGCAGATGACGATCCAAGGTTTGAGGTTCTGAAGATCAAATTATCATTGCGTATGTTTAAGTGAACCGTAGCACTTTCACGATGTCTTAGTAGTCTCGTTTGGGTGATTGCATGTGTGAACTTTTGAGAACCGAGAAACTAAAACCACAGTTACAAGCCACAGTTATTATTGATGTAGGTTATACATCTAATATGCCTTAAGGATGCAGTTGTTCATAGATTACGTATTTGGACTGAAATCAAACATGTCTGAATGTAATTTCATTGTTTAGCAAAATATGAAGCCTTGTGCTCAAAAAATGATGAAGTGAAGTTCTGTGCAAATGTTTATGCAGGATTTAAGAGCAGATAACTGTAGGCTATAATGCACTGACATTCATACTTCTTATAAGTGCAAATATTTTTTTTTGATCTACATACATACTGTATGTTAGTGTTTGACTAGAAACACAGTTAAAGCTGCGCTAGACACTGACTGCATGGTTTCCAGATGCTTTTGCTTATGGATTCCAGCTGTTTCTGATTTGATAGGGTGGGGAACTGAACAAAAAGCTCCTCACATTGTTCAGATACTTCAGTTCATCAGAACCTGAGAACATCTGTATCTCTCCATCACTCTCCCCTGGTTTCTGCATGAATGAATGAGTTATTCCAATGGTTTAAAAGCCTTTCCTTCTGTTTTTTTCTTTTTACATGTGTTTGTTTATTTGACTAATCCAATTTCTCGAGGCTGCTGCTTTCAATAATTTTTTTCTTGGCCATCCATTTGAACGAGGATTTGGTGTAGGCTATTCGACAGTGTGATTATCATGTGCTCTTCTCCTCATGACTCCACCGACGGCTGTAAACATGAACTTTTATGTGTTTAGCATCTATCTCAGTTATCATTGACTAACATTTCATTTAAATGGAGAAAATGGTGACAGAATTATTTTTTTTTTCTGTAAACTTTTCCATTTATGAATGTGTTCCTTGTGCTTTAGTTCTTTTTAAACATTTATAAATTTGATTGTATTGCAAAACTCTCTAGTAAGATCTTCTCCCCTCTAAACTGTTGGGTGGATATTCTGAATGTTCTGTTTAGTCCCTCATAAATTTAATAGAGATCCAAGAGACTTTTTTAAAGCTTCTGGAAAGGAAAGGTAAAGTGCCCTAATGCCCTATTGCATTCCAACAATGAGGGTCTGGTTTTGACGGCCAAAATCAACACATACGCACACCCAAACAGTCTGTTTTGGGTGGTTGCCAGGGTGTTGCTATGTGGTTGCTAGGGTAACCATTACCACCCAGCAAGCTAGGGTGTTCTGATTGGTTGCAAGGTGATCCCAGCTAACAGAGCATTCTCAAAATTTTGGCTAACGTTCTGGCAAGGTTCTCTCAAAGTTATGAGCAAACATTCTCCCTGTAACGTTAATAGAACATTTGTTTAAACTTATCGGGCCTTTCATAATCAAAACTCAAAACGCACAAAAACGTTATTTATACATTGTTTATGAAACGTTTCAGTTGGACATTCGTCTGACATATTTGAAATTGTATTACTTGTTTCAGGATGTTCTCTGAACATTCAAAAGTAACGTTCCCATAATGTTTTCAGAATAATAAAATGGAACGTTTCCTGAACTTTCGCATAAAAAAAAAACTATAAAATTTTTTTTTCAACATTCGGAGAACATTCAGAAGTAATGCTTTCATAACTTAATGACTGTTTGCAAAAGATTCTTATGGTGTGTTCACACCGAACGCGAATTTAATTATTTGCGCGAGTAGATTACATACAAAGTCAATGCAAAGACGCGAATAGACGCATCATTCGCTCCGGGCGTTGCGAATGACGCGAATTGGGCGACGCGTTTGCCGCGAATGTCTTCCGCGCAAGTTGAAAAATTTGAACTCGAGCGAATGTTCAAGCGTCTAACTAGACGCGATAGACGCGTATTTGACGCTCTATTCGCGTTCGGTGTGAACACACCGTTAGAGCATGTTTTTGTTAGCCGTGACGAACTAGAACATTAACTTATCTAAAACATTTATTTGCTGTGATGCAAGAACAGCATGTCGAGTCGTGTTCTTTCTCAACCCCTGATAAACCCAGTCATTCTTTCTGCATCATGGAAATGATGAAAGTTTGAAGAATAGAGGAATAGAGGTGTGCCACATGATGACTTCATTAGGTGTGTGAACTTATGCCTCCTGTTGTTTATTTTCATTGTGTTTATAACGCTGTTGCCAGGTGTAACAGTCTGGGACATCCGAGTTGAGCATTTGTCCCTCCAAATATGCCTTGTGGTGTGAAATTAAAATAATTGGCTTCCATATAAAACTTGGATGTGTAAACCAAGATACAAGATGAACACACACTTGTGCACTGCTTTTGTCAAATAGTTGACTCCAAAATGACAATACACCATCATTTACTCTCCTTTATGTTGTTTCCGTATGATTAGTGGAATACAAAAAGAGTCGGCTGTTTTGCACAGAACGACAGACAGAAATTGAATCTGTGCTTCTGCATATTTGAGCATTGACATCAAACGATTTCAAGTGAATAACATTACAATTTCAGTCTGTTCCTTACACAAAGCTAGTGCATTTACATTTGTCCCGAAAAGAGCAGTGTCAACTTTCTGCTTAGCATCTCCTTTTGTGCTTTACGACAGAAAAAAGTGGTTTGGGTCTCATTAGAGTGAATAAATGACTAGAGAATTAGCTTTTTTTTTGGGTAAACTATCCCTTTAAAATCTAAATACAGCTCAGTGGAGTAGATGTGCCGCCACCACCCCTCTCATGTGCACATATTTGCCAGTTGCTCGCTCTATCTTTGGCGTTTGACCAGCTGCTGGAGTTACATTAGTAACTACACATACTCACACTATCAAAAAAGTGGGCATATACAATTCCAGAAGTTTAGTAAGATTTTTTCAAAGAAGTCTCCTATGCTCACCAAGGCTGCATTTATTTGTTCAAAACTACAACAAAAACAGTAATATGTGAAATGTTATTACTATTTAAAATGACTGTTTTGTATGTGAATACATTTTAAAATGTAATTTATTCCTGTGATCCTTCAGAAATCATTCTAATATGCTTATTTGCTTTTTATTTGCTTATTATTATCAATGTTGAAAACAATGTTAAAAACCGTAATACATTTTCTTTAGGATTCTTTGATGAATAGAAAGTTTAAAAGAATGGGATTAATGCCATATTAGGGAAAACTTATATTAGCGAGCAGGGTTCATGGGTCACAGTGAATCATGATTTAGAGAGAGCAGATGTGTGAGAAAGGCTGTCCTGCGTTGGAGAGGTCAGGTCAGGGTTGAGTTTGCATTCTAGCATTCTGATCATAGCTGTCTATGTATACATGTATGATTCATTCTAAACATCCATATATCCCTGCGGCATCTCATGACACCAAATGTGCTGCTTAGAGTTTGCTCTTTTATAGCTCATGAGACCTGCTTGTTCTCAGTCATCGTTGATGCTTAACCGAAACACAGCAAAGATGTATCTCCTAAAAGTCCTTTGTTGAAATAAAAATAGTCATACAGTAAGAGTAGAACTATAGAAGGAATGTGCATAACAGCACAGATTATTTGGTCTTAGAAGAATTTGATGAAATATTGAGATCTCTTTGATACATTGGTTTCTTTTGGGATATTATATCGTTAACCCTATAAAGCCTATCATATCTAATACACAAATTTATAAGTCCCCTTAACTATCAACATAATCAAAACTTTGCTGAAAAAAAACATTGTCCACAATTCTACATGCTTTCTGTCGCCTGATATTTTAGACTTTTTTTTTAGCAAGTAAAAAGCTTTTTTGTACAATTGTAAAAAAAAAAAAAAAAAAAAAAAAAAATCCATGGTGTCCATCAGGTGTCTTTTAGCTATGAAATATTGAAATCTTGCTATATAGTAATGAAGATCTCATTAATCAGAATTTCTTACTTTTTTTCTAGCCATATAAATATGAGCATCTGCAACAAATTGCATATTTCTACTCAGTTTGGGCCTCTGAAAATGGTGAAAATAAGGTGTTTTTTCCATCATATTCTCACTATATCATATTATATATGGGCCATAAAAGCCTTATTTATCGAATATGATACTCAACAAAAAAACACATACAATTCTTTTTAATTTTTACGATATTTTGTAATTTCAAGAAATGTTCCATTCCAAAAATTTGATTTTTTTACATGTCAGACTACAGTGTTAAGATCTATTAAAAAATAAATCACATTACACAGATTCTCCTTCCAGATATAACCCTCTCAGTGTTGTCTCACTTTGTGCCTGCAGGGCCCTAGAGGTCGTGACCTCTTGAGGCTTGTGTTTAGGAAATTGGTTGAACACAGAGAATTGCTTGAATAAAGTCTTTGAATGAGCAATGGCTCTTTTGAGAATCTTTCAGCTGGAGGCGACTCATCACGCCTTGTGAAAGGTCTCATCTCTCAGGTCATGAGTACATATTTCCTAATTGAATAAAACAATAAAGCAGATTCACATTTGTCCTCTGTAGTCTGTCCTGTAACTGTAGTGTTAATGGCGTAGTCTGCAGGCATCAGTGACTTACACTCATCCAGAGCAGCATTGCACACATTCTTGTGCTGCACATGACCACATATACAGCTGCAAACTTATGAGCAGAACTGTGTGTGTTTGGCTGTATTAAACTGGTAAACCTTAGGACATTTTTAGCTCAATAGTAAACATAGGCAAACATGTTATCTGATGTGTTTAAAGGTGGTCTAATTCAGTGGCTAAATCTGCTAAGTCAGTGAAATGGGTGAAATTGCTTACAACACTTTTAAATAAGAGGATAACAGATCAATGACGTGCCTAGAGTAAAGTTTTTCATAGCTAAAGAGACTTAATCAAGCTTTCAGTTATGTTTTGATGACATATAACCTTTGTCTTAGATGTTTCAGCTAAAACTTATTTGGAGAAAGAAAAAAGAAACTCAAATGAGTCAATAGTTGTCATACAGTAGAGTTTAGGAGTTTCACATTGAAATCTTTGACTTTGGATTACAGATGTTAGTATCTCTACAAATCTTATCACCGTTTGAGTTATTACAGTACTTTTACATTAATGCATTTAGCTTTTATCCAAAACAACTTTCAAAAGAGGAACTAAAGCAATTCTTCAAAGAGTCAATAATTCAGTATTCATAATGCTAGATTTATTAGAAAAGTATTAGCAAGCAAGCTAGAAAAGAGGAGGAATGTAGAGAAATAGAAGATTTTTTATGTCATTAGCTATGTTTCCATTCAAAGTTGCGAATTTAACTTGTGCGCAAAATTGGAATATCGCATAAAACGAATAAAGCTGCGTTTCCATCCCATGTGTTCAAGATAACAAAATCATCACTTCCTGGGATATTGGCGCAACATATCTGTAATAAAAATGGAAGTTGCTGCAATCTGGGAAGCTACTGTGCCTCTTTCTTCCTACATCATAAATTGACGAAACGCAATAAATGCTGTCATGTTATCTTGCGTTCAGATGCCTGGTGTTTGGGGACGCAATCATTTGAGGCGCTTCTGTCTCCTGGGAATTAAACCGAAATCATTTTGATAACAGACTTTGGCTCAGGCATTTCAGAATGACTAAACAAACTGTTGAGAACTTGATCCACTGGTTAAGTCCATTTATCCAATCACATCCACTGTTGAGGAAAGGTCATGTGATTTATTTTTTTCTCATCGAGGGATTTATTTGGTAAATGTGTTTCCATTGTAGTTTATGCACGACTAATCGGATAAAAAATGTAGTTTATGCACATCTAATCGGATAAAAATTGTAGTTTATACACATCTAATCGAATAAAAAATGTATCTGCCTCATTGAGCGCATACATTTTTAATGCACATTTTTTGCATTTATGCACATCATGGTGTTTCCATCCAGTTTTTTTAATGCAATATCCCAAAATGAACATAAAAATAGATGGATGGAAACATAGCTATTGATCTATAGTTGTTATCTCTTTAGTCTCCTCTAGAGTTTTGATGAGAACAATACTACAAAAAGTCTCAATTTGCTGTCCATTCAATCTCTTTTCAGTTGAGCAGAAACCGTTGAGATGTTAAAGAGAAAGTACAGAAGTCTGTTTTGTTAAACTGAAGGGAATGAGTCTCAGAAATGCTGCTGGTTGGTTGTTGAGAGTTTGGAATTTGGTAATTGTGAGAAATGTCTTGAGAAAACAGAAGAAAACATGTTGTGGAGATTAAGGGAAAGCACAAGGCCATTGGGAGGAAGACACATGGTTCTCATTTTCAATGTTTACTCAGCGTCACTAGGACAGAACGCACATGCAACGTCAACATTTCTGTTCTTCTTGATTAGTCTATTTTGCACCAAAAAACTACCGATCACTTAATAGTTATATACAATATGTTTATTTGGCAATGGCAATCTGAGACATAGTATCTGGTGGTGAAAGCAACGCTGGGAAATTCCTGTATCTTTAAGTGACATGTTAAAGTTTGCAGCTCATGACCAAATAGGCAATTACTTTAACAACACTGGAGAAACGCAGATGTATGTGGACTATTCCTGTGCATGGTGGCTTTAACTCATGCACTTTTTGAACTTTTCGAATGGTAGTATGCACAACATTTTTGCTATGTTTCATTCCATGAGATGCATCCAGTTATCATCATAAAAACATATATTTTGCATTTTAAACCAATTTTGTGTACTGATTTTTATTTTGTGCAAATGTGTTACTTCCAGCATGATCTTTAAACAGCATTTAAATTCAGTCTCGAATGAGAAAATACACAAAGAAACAATTACATTGCATTATTGCATTATGCATTTATCTTATACTGGATGCATATGTATGACCCTTGGTTTCATTTTTATTTTGTTTTGTGCAAATGTTAAAGTCTTATTCACCTACGCAAACTGTCACTCAGTTACATGCGTATTGATAGAGAACATAAGCAGGGGAAATAGTCTTGTGTTAACCTCAAAAACAAAAAAACTTAACACTTTACATTTCCTCAAGCCAGGCCCATATCTATCTCTAACTTGTTTTTGTTCCATTTCGAAGTTAAGAACTGTTTTATATCTTGACAGATGCATTATGCAAATGCTTAATGCTTAACCATATGCTGGTTTTCGAATGATATATTCACTTCGCTCTTGGCTCTCTGATTAATGAGATCTTGTTTGTATCCTCTTTGAATTTGCTTCACCGATTAACCATTATCAACAAATGTCATTTTGAAACTTATATTGTCTGCTCATTTCACTTGCATCGAGTCTTTGATTTTCCATGTAATAATTACTTTGTACGATGTCTTTCAGGATGCCAGGAGAAAGACTGTCGATCCGAGATAACTCCGCTGTCGGCCGTTTCCACGGTGCTTCTGAAAGCAATGGTCTGGCCGTCCCTGAGAGACACACCGAGGCCAAAGTGAAGAAAGACGAGAGCGGATGTCGACGTTGGTTACGGAAGGCTTGTCCATGTTGCTTCCGGAAACAGAGCAGCTTGTATGATTTGACCATTGAAAAGGAAGCTGTGGATGGAGAAAAAGAAGAGCCGGCATCTCCAGTTCCTCCTAGCGGTGGTGATACAGAACTAAACGGTGAGAAGCTCAGTCTCAGACAGTCAAATACAACAAACCTCTTCTGAAGTTCCTCAAATTCAATCTTTTTTCTCCATCTTTTCCCATCAGAGCTGTCTCTAGCAGTGCGTTCTGTGGATCTGCTCAGTCGGAAAACTGATCGGAACAAGAAGGAGCATCACACGGATCAATACTATGGTGACCAGCTCATCATCCGCAGAGGACAGACGTTTCAAATGGAGCTTGAGCTCTCACGACCTTTCAACCCAAACACTGATAAACTTCACCTGGAACTGAAGACAGGTGAGCCTGAAGAGAAGTCACATAAATAAACGTGCTTTATCTATTTTGTATGTTGGTTTCAAACATAAAGTAAAAACCATGGGATAGATAGATAGATGGTAGATTGATTGATTGATCGATTGATTCAAATTCTTCCGTTTTCCAGCATCTTTTGCAAACTTAAACCCTTTCCAGCAGTGACTGTATGATTTTGAGATCCATCTTTTCTCACTCAGGATCATTGAGGGACTCAAACACAACTATTAAAAAAGGTTCAAACATTCACTGATGCTCCAGAAGGAAACAAAATGCATTAAGAGCCTGGGGGTGAAAACTTTTTGAATTTGAAGATCAAGGTCATTTGTACTTTGTCTTCCGGGTAACATGTTTGTATCTTCTGTTGCTTCCGAAGGGCTCTTTTTTATAGACTAATTTTAAGACTTATTTTAACAAAATAAGAAAAATCGTCATCCTGTGCAAAAATGTTCACAATCGCGAACATAAATGGAAAACTTTAAAGGCGATTTTCTCAATGTTGCACCCACAGAATCCAGATTTTCAAATAGTTGTGTATCGGCCAAATATTGTCCTATCCTAACAAACCATACATCAATGGAAAGCTTATGTTCATGTGATGTATACATCAAAATATTTAAAAAAAATGTATCCATGTGACTGGTTTTGTTCAGGGTCACATATTTGAAATGATTATTTTCGGACTGGAAAAGGAGTGGAGTGCTCATCTCGTCTCACTGATTAGGGCTTAAACATCTGTGGTTTTGAAATTTCTCTCTCAAGCCGCACCCAATGATACATCTCACTTATTTTGAAGAGATAGGAAGTTAAGGAGTGAGATATTAACAATAAATCCACTTCATGCTGATACAAGATAACTCAACTGGTCAAACTAACTGATATTCATTTTTCCAAATCCATTTTTATTCCAAATTTCAGAGTGAAACAGGATATTCAACTCCCAAAAAATGTCAAGAAAAAAAAATCAGGATTTGATTGGATCATGAAAGTAATTTTTCATCAAAAAGTATAACTTGACTTTTCCTTTCTGCTGATATCATGTGCACTATTTTTCCTACTCAGCTATTTTCATGTTTCACATCTGACACATAAACATTTAAATGCATGACTTATTTAACTATTAATAAATCACATATGTCCTAAAGAACAGGAATTGAAAAAGGAAGGACCAGGTTTCATCATTTGTGCAAGCCTTATGTGTTTTATTACTAGCTCACTGCTTTGGCTGTCTTTGACCTTGTGTGACTGACTCAGTATTTCAACATAGTTGGATTGTTTGGATTTGGCTGAAATCCTCCCTCGTGTAATAATTTACCAGAAATGTCAAAACTCAGAACCCAATTAATCATGTTCTTCTCAAAGCATGTGTTTCATGTCCATGTCATCATTCAGGAACGCTTCCGCTAGTGTCAAAGGGCACGCACATCATCATACCGTTGGTGGAAGAACTCCAGGATGAACGCTGGGAGGCCAAGATCGTGGAGCAGAGCGTCAACCGAGTCAAGCTGTCCGTCAACTCCTCCACCACTGCTATCATCGGAAAGTACAAGCTGACCGTCGCAACGCAATGTCTGAAGACGGGCGAAACTACCACACACGACCCTGACAAAGACATTTACATGCTCTTCAATCCCTGGTGTGAAGGTAAGACAAAAACACTTTGTTCCAACATATGCGATCTTATCCGTAATACAGCGCAGTGATCATATTGAAAGTTCATTCTTATCAATAATGTGTAGAAAAGCTCATACACTGATGTAGATGTGTCACTGCTCTGAATGAATCAGAAAAAAACTCACATTTATACCTCACATTTCGTGACATTGGTTTAACTTTGCTTTTTAAACCAAAAGAACGGCTCTGAAAACAGAAAATCTGCATGAACCTATGTTGGTTTTTAAATTTGCATATAGACTTCATTGGGTCCCTATGAACGTCTACTTGACCCGCCCTCAAACACACTGTAGTTGTAGCTGAGGCCTGAAAGAGTTTGGTTTGTGTTGTCAACATGTGGAGAAGACGCTGTCTTCTGTGCTGCGAATGCAAATCCACTTTGGATAAGGAGTTGGGCTCGAATTTATACTGTAAAACTGACGCCATCGCTACTGTTCGTATCACTGTGTGTGTATACAAGTGCTGAGGAAGGTTTGGATCTGAAATTCAGATATGGTAATGAGCGTTTTGTTTCCGACACGCGCTGTAAGCGGTGAACCAATCACAACAGACTGAGCCATCTGACCAATCAGAACACAGTAGGCTCCCAGAAAGGAGGGGTTTAGAGCGACCGAATCCCTGATTGAACCGTTTCAGACACTGTGAGAAAAGAGCTGATGCTGCAAATGCTGAAAATTAAATGTTTTTTGACCTTGAATGCAATGTAAAATTATTGTAGTAGACCTCCGCAACAAAATTAGGAACCTTTAAATTGTATAATAGCCCTTTAATAAAAAAAAAAAGAGTGCTATCATTGTTTCAACCCTGTAAACATCTCAAAAAAGGTTTCATGATCCTTTAAGAAGATATTTTATGCTCATGATTGGCATAGTACCATTTTCATCAACACATAGAATGTAATGCATTTATGAATTACGTCATGTCGGAATGCAGCGAGGATGACTCTACCAAACTACTCATCCATTGACGAGAAGCCAAACTACACCTCCACTGAAGCTTGTCTGAGAAACGCTGATATATTTAGTCTAAAATATTGCACAGGCAACTGTCAACACAATATAACATGAAGGTGCAAGTTTCCTCTTGTAGCCCAGTGACTTACATCAGTCTTCAGGAGGATTGAATGTGTTCTTGCTCTCCATTTGTGTTGCAGAAGTTTGGATTAACAACTACTTTGGCTTCACTGCAACTACTGGCTATAACTCACGGGCTAAACTAATTCTAATATTTCACAGAAATCACTGTATTTTAGTGCAATATTACATCTGCATATGTGATAAAATGCAAACGTGAGAACTGTTAACCGTTAATATGTATGTAAACTACATTAAGAAAAGAAACAAAATTTATAAATGGGCTGATGGGGGAAAATAAATAAAATTCAGCAAATGTGGATATGGCTGCTTAAGCTTTTGAACAACTTAAGATTCTCTTCCATAGAATTACAGTTTTGTTTACAATCACTAATAAAAGATAATAAAAGTTGGAAAATTTTGTTTGTGATAAGGAATGAAAATCTTATGATCACTTATGATCTTATATATTATATTATGATCTTAATCTTATATCTTATGATCAATGATTACTTGGTGAAGCAAATACAAATCGATTAAGGAAACATAATATCCCAATATTTATAAGGACATAAAGGGGCGTGGCCTGGTTGAGTTAGTAGTGTGTTGAAACTTGGGGTTAAAGTAAGGGGCGGGACATTTCCCAAACGCTCAAAACGCTTGACCAATCACGACACACTCCTCCAGCCGACCAATCAGAGCACATTGCGCTTTTCAGAAGGAGGGGCTTCATAGAGACAAGAACTAAACAGAGCGTTATTGAAAGACTGGGAAGAGAGGAGCTGCAACAATGTTAAATATTGGAAAAATTATGTTCTTTTTGAACATTTGAGGATGAAAAAATTACTCTAGTAGAGCCCAAAAACAAAATCCAGATAATAGTTCCTCTTTAAAGCTTGTTTTGTAGGGTGGTTCGGGCTGTGCACTCTTTCCTGCGCTTGAATACCAGAGATGATTGTTAAGGAAAGAGAGAGGTCTGCCAAATCACCTTTCACTGCTGACACTGTAATCGTTTCTCTCTCTTTCTTTTTTTCCCCCTCTCTCTGCATTTTTTTCTGATGTTTCTTCTACAGTCCCACCTCATCTGGCATTCCACATGTCAAATATATTTTCCCCTCTCCCGCTCTCATTCTCTCCCTCCTTGGCCGCTCTTTCACTCCAGGCCCTTCCTGTCATTCTTTACTGGGTTCTTTCAGCACGGCTTGTTTTATAACACTACATGTGGCTCATTCTTGTTCTTCAGAACATGCTGAACTCTGTAACTCTGAATGTAATGTTTAATTTAAGGAAGTACTTCAATAACAGGGTGTAGCTGAGTTTCAGATAAATGTCCGGTCAAGCTCAGACTCTTTATTCATTATAACTTAACTACAAGGGCACAATGCTACAATTTAGGGAGTATTCTTTTATCAGCCCAATTTTTACAAAACATTAAATAAAAGCTTGGACAAATGGAATAAGTGACCAATTAAAGGGATCATGAACTGCATAATTTTCTCTCAGGTCAAAGAGAAAATCCAAAAACATCAAAATAGGCGAAGTAATAGTCTATCCTGTCTTTGACCCTCTCTTTGTTTTAATGGGCATTCAAGACGCCCACTGCTATGATTGCTTAACAGTTTTGCATATTAAAATAATTTTCAATGTCCCAGCCATTACATGTGTGGAATTGTTTTGAAAACATAGTTACATAGTTGAAACATTTGCCAACAACGTGAAACATTTTTGCGTATTAAATATGCTTTATAAGTCTTGGTTGTGACAAATACAGTTTAAGTACTTGGAGTTACCACAGTTATAGTTGATAAATGATAACTTACGTTGTTTCATGTAAACGGAATTATGATTGAATCTACTGATATATCATTTGCCATTCTTATAAGCTATTAGTTCATCTTTTTCGATAAAGTAAAAAACTAATGACTGAAATGTTGCTGACCGAAGCTTTTAATTTATTCAGCGAATGGCTTAGATCAATAACAAAAGTGTTTTCTACATGCTTTCTTCCGTATCCGGGAACACTCGCATTAACCACATAAATATCCGAAACAGCGAATCACAATTTTAAGGTTTCCATTTCCATTTAGGTTTAATTTATTTAATTTAATTCATTTATTTCAGGTTTTAGTAAATTTAGTACTTTAGTACTTTAGTACTAAACTTATTTTATTTAGTTGTCAAGGCTTTCAAGTTTAGGTTTTTCATGAGAACCATTTTTAATATTTTTAGTTTTAGACCACTGTTTTAGAAGTTTGAAAAGCATGCCCTATGTTCAGGTAATTGTGATATTGTGTTAGAGGAAAACTAATAGGATTTACATCTTAAAAAAAAGAGATTTTTTTTTCTGTCCTTCTGATCTTCTTCTGTCTCACTGCTCCACTCTCCCAGGCCTCTTTCCATTACACTGCTCTTTTCTCCAGCATGTCTGAGTGATTCTTTTCCATTCATTTCGTAATCTTTCCTCTACTATCATTTCCGTTACTTTATAGTGCCTCCATTCTCTCCCTTTTCCCGTCCGATTGCACCTCACTTGTGTTCACGCCCTGGTGCAGAAACAGGGAACACTCCAACAGATTCCAGACGTTGATGATGTCACTGCTTTCCTTTAAAATGAACCAAACCACCGTATCAAATCCTGGAACTGTGTTTTCATCCTCTCTCTCTTTCTTCTCAGAGGACACGGTGTATATGGAGAGTGAGAAAGAGCTGAAGGAGTACGTCTTAAGTGATACTGGGAGAATCTACTACGGCACTGAGAAGCAGATCGGAGCTCGCACGTGGAACTTCGGCCAGGTGTGGAGACCAGAACAGAGCACTTTCTCTGGGGAAATAAAAACATGTTAATGAAAATTTCTTGTGAAAACCTATCTTATACAATCAAGAAAGCACGAAGCAAATCATAATTGACACATGGAGTCTCAAATAAAAATTTGACCACAAATGCCAATGGCGGGTGAACTTAGAACTTACTGGCCATGAAGAAATTACCTGCCGTGAAACCGTGTTTTGCATTGTTTTTGTAAAATATATATATTTTTGTCAGGGTGAATTGTTTTAGTAATTTCCCCTTTCCACAGCATTTATAACAGTCAGTGTTATTTTAGTATTATTAATACACTATTATAGTATTTATTAGGATTCTGTTTGAATTAGCTGTTGTTATTTTTTTTATTTTAGTTTAAGATTTAGTAATTTTGTTATGTGCTTTTGTCAATTTTATTAGTTTTTTTATATTTCTATTTAATTTATTTTTATTTCAGTTTTAGTTCATCTTCAACTTCAAGGCAACAATTTTCATTTAATTAAATTAATAAAATTAATTTAAGTTTAGGTTTTCATTTCAAAAACAATTTTTAATACCTTTAGTTTAATAATAACAACACTGATACTAGTTCGTTTTTTTGTTGTTGTTGTTGTATCACAAAAAAAATAAGTATTTTCAACTTATTCTCGCAAAAATCGCCCACTTAGACAGGAAAAAAACATCTTATCAACACATAAAGCACCAAACCACAGTTTGTATTGTCTTATGTGACATTTATGGTAAATCTGACATCAATTATACCACAATTATAGATTGCATTGAAAAAACAACGGGGAAACATTAACTGGGAAATTAGCAGAAAATGTGTGTCGACTTTGCAACCAGAATTTGTTTACACGACAAAGCTAATATTAGGGAGTGTTAATTTTGGACCATGTTTAGACCATTGAAAGTTGTCTCTCGGGATTGTCTCTCTCACAGTTCGATGAAGGAGTTCTGGAGGCCTGTCTGTTTGTGCTGGATAACAGCGAGGTTCCTCCTTCAGGTAGAGGAAATCCTATCAGTGTGGTCCGGGTCATTTCTGCCATGGTGAGTCCCACCTCGCCTGACAATATTAATGGAACACATCTAGTAAAAAGTGCCGTATTATTCTTTTTGTTATCAACTTTTTATTCAGTTTTAAGATAAACCGCACACAGTTTTATTATGTGCAAAGTAACATACATGTATATTTAGGCATATAATATATATTTATGAAAAACAATAACAATACTTAACACAATCTATTTACGATTGCTTTTTTTCACAGAAGCATGAGTGTGAAGACCTGTTTAAAGGCCCCAATATACTCACGCCGAGTTCGTTTACGTTGTTCGGTTAGGAGCAAAAAAAAGCGATATACTGTTAGCAAACATCCCAATGTTGCACACACTGCTGAGAGCGGCATTTAAATGAATATATAAATATGTGATGTGCGCTTTCCTCTCATGAACAAAAACACAGCGGTGAGAAAACAGCAGTTAAGAAAGCATCTGATCATAGCGATTGATCACAGCTCTGCAATTCATCACTCCAGTCAAGTCACGTTTATTTTCATTGTTTATTTAAAGCAAGCAGCTTTACAGTATTAAGAATGAAAACCCCTTAAGAATTACAACTTCAATTTCTACTCTGACGCAGCTCTCCAGTGTGTTCATGTATAACTCAGATCTGACTTCAACGGACTGAACAGAAGAAATGATCCAGAGTAGGTTCTGCGTCAAAGAAGGCGGAGCCTCAGAGCCACACCCACCTATTATTTAATCAAAATGGACCAATCAATTCAAAGGTGTTTTCCAGTAACTTAGCTTCAGCAAACTGTTCCGAACTACCGAAACGAACTTTGTTTTGGCCTGATTTAGTTCGAAATGTCGTCACATCAATTCGTACTTCAAACTGGCTTAAAGTATATCGGGGCCTTAAGTGATATGCTAAATCTGTGCAATAACAAGTAGCTTTATCCCAAGCCTCTATAGTAGAAACTTGTGCCTTATGAATCACAGCTTATGATCTCTCTATGAAAACGACTCTTTCTTTACAAAGACCCTTTACCCGCTTGACCTCAAGAGACCCTTGAATGAACCTTTTCTAGATCAATGCTCCGGATGACCTTGGCGTTCTGGAGGGAAACTGGTCTGGGAATTACGCGGGTGGAACGAGTCCCACGGCCTGGAGCAGCAGTGTAGAAATCCTCAGGCAATACCACAAAGAAGGAGGAGCGCCCGTCAAATACGGGCAGTGCTGGGTGTTTTCTGGAGTCACGACCACAGGTTTGTGTGTGTGTGTGTGTGTGTGTGTGTGTGTGTGTATGTGTGGAGATAACAGCCACATCCTTGTGGTTAGTGATTCAGGATTCCAGCTTCTAACATAAAAAACTTTGACTGTGAAAAATCACATGTAAGCATATGTATGTAACGCTCTCACCAAAACCCCTCCCTCCAAAGACACATCGGCCAATCCGATATCAACGTTTGTGATTAGCTTTGTAAGGGTCCGTTCACACAGTTTTCCATTGCACTATGATAATTTGCCATGTTTTTCTATGTAAACAACATGCGCTAGACAGACATGCGTTCGCGACTTTTGTCTTTTGCATTCTTAAACGTTCAAGCTTAAAGAAGTTCAACTTTTAGATAAAACGTTTTTTTCATTTCACTGCCCTGCGTCACACATTTTTAACCGCAAAAACGCTCTGTGTGAATGACCCCTAAAATGTGCAATTATTTAATACAAATGACTAAATAAAATAGTAATGTATACATAAATGTATTAATCTTAAAGTCTACACAAAATCTAAATGTTTGATCAGAGATCAAGTTAAATTGCTGTCCTCTAATCAAAGATTTTCTCTGGGGAAAAAAATGTTGCACATTGCAAACCATATTAGACGCATTAAGTCCAAACTTAACTTTTCACCACACCTGCCAATGGCAGATAAACTGAGAATATAACAGCCATAAATATTTGACCTAACACGAAACTGTAACCTGAACATAAAACTGAACATTTGTGATTAGCTAAAAATAAGTTTTATTTTTACTCTTTGTCTTTTTTCTGTTTATAGATTCTAGTGGCAGTACAGAAAATCAGATTTACTGTAATTAAACAAATGTTCCATAAATATTCAGTGAAAATTACTTACAGTAATGTGGAAAAAATAATAATGCATAAGTCAAATTAAATGTGTTATTCTTAGTCAACACAAAACGAAAATGTACATCATAGTCTTTTCTATAGCATGTTTTTGGTGTTATTGTGTACAAATGATCAATGCATTTCATTCCACATTTCAAAAACATTTGTTTTCATAAAAACTGATTTGTCAAGACACTTATTTCAGTGATATCTGTCAGGTAGTGAGGACATTCTATGAATGATACAAAAAAAATCTGCTTTTTTTTTTGGGTTGCAATTCCTAAAAAACTAGTAACTTCACAATTCACAAACAACTGAAAGACAAAAATAAGTCCTGAAAATTTCCTAAAACAGGCTAATTTATTGAAATTATGTTTCCAGCAATTATATTATGATGTTTTGCAAATCAAAAGTACAGGGTCACATTGTAATATCAGTGGATTTCAGGAGGGTATATGATGTCATAGGACAAAAAAAAAATGGTATTGTTTACAAATTGAAATAACCATCGGAATCAGGAGTCTCCAGTCACACACCATCTTTACAGCAGTGCGAGTGCTGTGACATTCATAGCTGACCCCGTTTAACAGTGGTGAACTTCAGCTTCAAATACTCTCGCCTGCACACTGTTCATTCCACACACAGACATTAAAGTGTTTGACTCTTGCACTCATTACTACTCGTCTTCAGTGAATTGCCTCAGGTTTCTCTCATTCTTTCCTCTTCCTAGTTTGACATAATTCACTCTACCATTCAAAAGCATCATTACTCCAGTCTTCAGTGTCACATGATCCTCCAAAAAATCATTCCAATATGCTGATTTGATGCTCAAGAAACATTTATGATTATTATCAATGTTGAAAAAAGTTATGCTGCTTAATATTTTTGTAGGAACCATGATGCATTTGTTTCAGGATTCTTTGATGAATAGAAAGTTTACAAGAAAAATGTTTATTTGAAATAGAAATTTGTGCAACTTTTGAATAATAGTATCAAAGTATAATAGTATCGTACTGACCCCAAGCATTTGAACAATAGTGTATATTACTATATTGAATCTCTACAGATAAATAACTCTCTCTATATATACATCTGTCCCAGTGTTGAGATGTCTAGGTATTCCTGCGCGCTCCGTAACGAATTTCCAGTCTGCCCATGATACGGATGTCTCCTTGACAACAGATGTGTATTTCGATGAGAAAATGGAACCGATCCATGACCTTAACTCTGACTCTGTATGGTGAGCATTTGTGTTTTTTTATGGAAGAATTAATATTAGGTGTGGGTCAGTATAAAATGATAAAATCCAATACTGCTGTTGTATCGGTCGGTCAGTGTTCCAACGATGCAGCAGTGATAATGGATTTGATCATTTTATACTGACATATATATAACTACACATAAATACTACACATTCTCTTATTTCTCTTTCTGTATCCCTGATTTCCTCTGTTTCTTCTGTTCCTACAGGAACTTCCATGTCTGGAATGATTGCTGGATGGCCCGTCCGGATCTGCCCCCTGGAATGGGTGGCTGGCAGGCCGTGGACTCCACACCGCAGGAAACCAGTCATGGGACGTTCCGCTGTGGGCCGGCATCACTGGCCGCTGTGCGCTCCGGACAGGTCTATTTGAAATACGACACACCTTTTGTGTTCGCTGAGGTGAGTCCAGACTCATGAAATTATCATTATATCCATAGAGCAGTCATCCACGTCCTTTCTGTCTACAAAAGTGCTCATTAGTTAGGTCAAATTGACTGCAAACAAATAAAAGTGCACATTCAAAGACAATTACTTGAAAATTGGTTATGATTTTCTTTTACCACATTTTATGGAATGTTAACATTTTACTAGAATATTATTACCGGCAATTTACCTTATTTCTGAATGCAATCATAAAAAGTGACTTACACACATATAGTATTAGTCGCATCAATGATTTTTTTTTCAACAATGCAATTTTGACACTTATGTGCACTTATGTTTAACACAGGTGCAACTTATTTTCTGGAAAATAGGGTTATTGCAATTGTGCATGATTTATTCGTGCTTGTTTTTCATTTATTAAAATATAATAACTTCCTCCAGCTTAATTCTTAAAAAGCCTACTTTTTTGGCTAACATCACCAGTGTTGTTTTAGTATTATTTGTGTACTATTTTATTATTTATTAATATTTTAAATGAGCTTTTATTTTTTATATTTTTCATTTTAGTCATTTTTAAATAGTTTTTTTATATTTCTATTTAGCTTTAACTTACATTTTAAGTTTTTTTTTCAATTTTAAACTTACACAAACTTCTTTACAGTTACAGTGGTTGCAATGGCAACTTTCCATCTAATATTTATTTTTTGTTGCTTGTTTGTTTGTATTTAAATGACTCAGAAATTATTTTGAATAATTTTAGTTACAACTAAAATATAACATTTTCAAATCCTAAATTGAATCAAGTTCTTCTCTCATTTCACTCCTGTGCTAGAGGACGGGCTGGCCCTGACGTGTTGGCATCCATGTTAAATATTTTCTTTATACCCTCCATAAAATCCTGTTTGAAACCTGCATTTATCCTGACAGGCATGTCTCTTTAAAGGATTCTCAGCTCTAAACCTGTGCTGTTGTTTTGGTGCAGGTGAACAGTGATAAGATCTACTGGCAGAGGAACCTCGACGGGAGCTTCAGTCAGATCCACAGTGAGAAGAAAGCCGTCGGTCACTGCATCAGCACGAAGGCTGTTGGCTCTGATGAGCGTGTTGACATCACAAACATTTACAAATATCCTGAAGGTGAGACACACATACATGCACACTTTCAGACAAATCAATCTCAATGACTCGCCCTGCGTGTGCCCACATGAAAAGACAACAGCAGGCTGTAAAACAGTACATAATGATGAAATAATGTGGTATTAAAATTATGATATATAATAATTATTGCATTTGTATTGGAACAGTTTCCCAGAGAAAATTGTATTAGATCAAAATGTCGATCGAAAAAGAAGTCATATTATGGAATATTACATTTTAAAATCAAAAGAAAACAGAGTAAAATGTATTTTGCTTAAAGAAATGAAGCCTATTTTGTCTTATCTTTAAATCGTTACATAATTTTAATGAAAATAAAGCACCCAAATTTGTATTACTACAGTAAATACATTTATACATACACATTTGATACTATAAATGTATTACTATAAATATATTCAGAATCTTACTATTATTTCTTCATATGTATTATTTATATTAAATCAAAAACATTTTTTTTTTATTTAACGTAAATGATAAATATAGATTTTATCATTGTAGGTACATACATGCAGTAGAAAATGTGTTCATATTAATAAATGTGTGTGTATATATACATATTTAATTTATTTATTGTATTGTTCTTTTTGATGGTACAAACTCGCAATTTTTCCGATATATTTAAGACACGGTTGTAATTATTATTTTTTTAATGGCGTAAACCGGCACAAATTGAGCACAAACGAATGGCGATTTGGACGACATGGGATGGAGTGTGACGTCACAGATTCAGAATTATATTGGTCATTTCTAAGGAGGGGAAATAGATACAGTTTATACATTTTAATGGCACAAACCGAGCACAAACAAATGGCACTGGTTTGGAGCGATTTAACCGACATGGGGTGGAGAGCGACGTCACACAACCAAAAAGAATTATGTTCAATATCTCCAAAACCAGCACAAACGTTCGTTTTGTGGCACAAATGTAGCATAAACGAATGGCATAGTTTTGGGGATTATTTCATTTTATGGGGTGCCAACTTCACAGAGTTTTATCCATACTGTAAATTCATATTCTTTGCCAATGCTGTCTTAGAGCAACCTACAATACAGAGCATGAGTTACTGGCAAAAGCCAGGACAGATGCAGCCAAGAACACACAATGCCCAGTTTAACTGGCTTAACATTCCACTGCCTTCACACCAAAATACCTGTCATTATCTCCAAACGGGTAGTTTAAATTTAACGGTGATCCACCCACAGGAAACAATGGCATCATTGTCTCAGTTAGAGAAAATATAAACAAATGAAACAATTAAACAGACTTAAAAGTAGGAGTAGACTTAAAGTAAGAGTAAAGAGCTGTGAGATGGATATGGATATGGATATATATATATATATTAGGGCTGTCAAATGATTAATCGTGATTAATCACATCCAAAATAAAAGTTTTTTTTACATAATATATGTGGGTGCATTGTGTATAATTATTTTATATATATAAATACACAAACATGCTTGTATATATTTAAGAAATATTTTCAAGTATATACTGTATATAGATTTATATATAATTTATATTATATATAAATATAAATATTTTATATATAAATTATATTTTTTTCTTAAATATACATGCATATGTGTGTATTTATATATATACAAAATAATTATACACAGTGCACCCACATATATTATGTAAAAAAAACTTTTATTTTGGATGTGATTAATCGTGATTAATCATTTGACAGCCCTAATAATATATATATATATCCATATCAATCTCACAGCTCTTTACTCTTCCTTTAAGTCTATATATACATATATATATATTAGGGGTGGAACGGTACATATTCGTATCGAACCGAAACGGTACGGGCGTCACGGTTCGGTGCACGAATTTACACGGAGAATACACGGTATAAAAATAAGTAAAACTCGCGTGCAAATTAATTAATGTAATGCGGAACTACCGTTAGATACGCGGGTTCTTTAGGGACACATAATCTGTACCATCGGCTTAGCTCTGAACGCGCGTTCACTTCAAACGTTGGCTTTTAACGCGCGTCCTATTCGCTTTGGACTAGCGTCGAACTAGACGCGATTTTGACGCTCTATTCGGGTTTGGTGTGACCACATAATGAAGGCTGCGATGTCAAGATGCAATGCTGGACTGTGTGTGTGTGTGTGTGTGTGTGCGCGCGCGCGCGAGAGAGAGAGGCGAGATCGAACTGTGTGTGTGTGAGAGAGAGAGAGAGAGAGAGAGAGGCGCGCGACCGAACAGTGGAAACATAAAAAAAACATACTCCGTAATTTTGTTCATACAGATCATTAAACCTGCAAAGTGTTTACTTGTATTTGTGTACACTCGCAATAAAACACAACATTGTGCACACTGTAAACTCTTGTCAAACTGTAACCTACAACTGTCACTCAACCAAAATCACACACACACACACACACACACACACACACACACACACACACACACACACACACACACACACACACACACACACACACACACACACACACACACACACACACACACACACACACACACACACACACACACACACACACACACACACACACACACACACACACACACACACACACACACACACACACACACACACACACACACACACACACACACACACACACACACACACACACACACACACACACACACACACACACACACACACACACACACACACACACACACACACACACACACACACACACACACACACACACACACACACACACACACACACACACACACACACAGTTATGTTGTTAATTTTTAATGTTAGTTAATATAATAATTAATAATGTTAATTAAAATTAAGGAAAACAAATATATTGATCTGAAATATAGCAAATTAATTTTAAATTAATTCAGGTACAATTACCAAACATATCGCAAGGTCTTTTTGTCTTTTCATTAATTTAATTAATAAACTAATTATATAAAACTATTGTCAGTGCACTACAAATAAACTGGTTCTATGCCTTTATATAATAAAACTTATTTAAAAAATACAATGCCTTCTGCATTTTTGTTTTGCTTTTCCCTCCATTGTACCGAAATCGTACCGAACCGTGATGTCTGAACCGAGGTATGAACCGAACCGTGACTTCTGTGTACCGTTCCACCCCTAATATATATATATATATATATATATATATAGCAGCTTATATCATTTAGTATGGGAAGTGTTGTGATCCCTGCTTAAAGTCCTCATTTAAGGCCTAATTTCTTTCCCTCATCAGACTCGGAGGAGGAGCGCATCGCTGTGGAGACGGCCTGCCGCTACGGCAGTAAACCCGATGTCTACTCCAGTCCCATTGCTGAGGACGTGCTGGTGGAGGTGAGGATGGAGGGAGAAGGTCCACGCATGGGAGGAGACGCTCAGCTGAAGATCGTGGTGAAGAACACGAGCTCTCATCCCCGCAGAACCACCCTTCACAGCCAGGTGGCGGTCATGTACTACACCGGCGTGCTGAAGGACACAATGAAGAAGGAAAAACTTAACGTGGAGCTCATGCCGCAGGAAGGTCAGTTAGTTTTAAGTGATTTCTTCGCGACTGCTAAAAAAATACGTTAAATATATGATATACATCTCATTGTCACGACACGCACACAAACAGATGGATCCAAGTGCAGTTTAAATAGGGTAATCCGTAATCGTAAAACATCCAGGCAAAGGGTCAAAATCCATACAAAGGCAGTCCAAAACAGAAAATAAACAGGAACAGATCTCCGAAGTGCAGTTGACATTGAACAAGGATTCCACGACAGTGAATGAAACAGACAGGGTATAAATAGGGAAATACAAACAATGTGAATGGGAACAGCTGTGTGCAATGAACAGTAATGAGTAGAGACAAGGGTTATGGGAAATGCAGTTCCTGATGTGGTGGTGAAGGTAAGGGGAAGATACCTCTAGTGGACACCCAGGGAACACCAACATACACTGTGACATACCCCCCCCCTCCCCCCTCTAAGGATGCGGCTACCAGACGCTCCTTTGAAAACAAACACAAAAGTCCAGGAGGGAGGTGGAACGGTGGAGGAACAGGGGGAGGGATGGGGGGCCAGGTCCATGGAGGGGAACAAGAACTGGAGATGATGGCTTAATGGGTGGTAGAACAGATCATTCATTGGGCCGGGGCGGATCAGAGCGTTCAGGAGTCCAGGGCAGAGCAGACTGTGCTGACGGCCAGGGCGGAACCTGCCATTTGGGAGACCAGTGCAGAACAGGCTGAGCAGGTCCTTTGGGCGGCCATGGTGGAGATGATCAGGGCGACGCAGGCTGTGCAGGCGACCAGGGGGGAACAGGTCCATCGGGCAGCCATGGCGAAGACGACCAGGATGTAGCAGGCTGTGCCGGCGACCAAGGCTGAGCAGGTCCTTTGGGCGGCCATGGCGGAGACGACCAGGGTGGACCAGACAGTTTAAGGGCCCATGGTGGAGACGACCAGGACGTCGCAGGCTGTGCAGGCGGCCATGGCGGACTAGACAGTTCAGGTGGCCCAGACAGTTCAGGTGGCCAGGGTGGACCAGACAGTTCAGGAGACCATGGCGGCACGGCCTCCATGGTCCTATCAAGGGACCTCCTGCCCCACCCCAAAATTTCCTTGGGGGCGGCTATGGGGTTATGGGCAGGAACAGACACCGGCTCGGGAACAGGAACAGACACCGTGGTGGAGGCCATCCTGTCCGGAGACCCTGGCTCGGCAGACGCGACGTGAACAGTCTCTGGCTCGGCAGACGTGACGTGAACAGTCTCTGGCTCGGCAGACACGAAGTGAAACACTGGATTGGTAGGTTGCATCAGTGGGGCCGGTTTGGGCGAGACACTGGGGCGGTGCCGACAGGGCGAGGCGAGGGGCGGCGCAGGAAGGCTGAGGCGCTGGGGCGGCGCCGGAGCCGGATGGGCGAGGCGCTTGGGCGGAGCCGACAGGGCAAGGCGCTGGGGCGACGCCGGCAGAGCGAGGCGCTGGGGTGGTGCCGGCAGGGTGACGCACTTGGGGATGGCCTCCAGGCCCAGTGGGATCGAAGACACCTTCCTCCGCCTCCGTTTACGAGAGTGCGGCGGTGCTGCAGCCTCTTTGGCCACCACTGGGGGTGCAATAGGGAGAGTGGACAGATCTGGGACAACTGAAGTCAGGTCCTCCCGGACCACCGGACTTGAGACCCCCGAAGTCGGGTCCTCCCGGACCACCGGACTTGAGAACCCCGTAGTCGGGTCCTCCCGGACCACCGGACTTGAGACGCCCGAAGTCGGGTCCACCCGGACCACCGGACTTGAGACCCCCGTAGTCGGGTCCTCCTGGACCACCGGACTTGAGACCCCCGTAGCGGCCATCTTACCTGGAGAGACGGGCGTATCTGGTGTTGCCCATTGGCTGCGATGGTGTAGGTTGCTAGTGAAACCCCAATAGTCCAGGATTTCAAGTCCCTTCATCTCCCACTGAGGCAGTTCATCAAGGCAGTTATTAAGAAGGTCCTTCAGTACTTCATCATTGTACCCCAGGCTTCTCGAGAGAGTCCAAAATAGCTGAGATAGACCACCCACCGACTAACCCTGCTGACGTAGATTCGTCAGATTACTGACTTGTCCCCTCCTCTCCTCTGCAGTGCTAGGGGGAAGAATCCGAATACCCATACTGCTGGATCTGTACATCCTCTTGGTGGAATCCTTCTGTCACGACACGCACACAAACAGATGGATCCAAGTGCAGTTTAAATAGGGTAATCCGTAATCGTAAAACATCCAGGCAAATGGTCAAAATCCATACAAAGGCAGTCCAAAACAGAAAACAAACAGGAACAGATCTCCGAAGTGCAGTTGACATTGAACAAGGATTTCACAACAGTGAATGAAACAGACAGGGTATAAATAGGGAAATACAAACAATGTGAGTGGGAACAGCTGTGTGCAATGAACAGTACTGAGTAGAGACAAGGGTTATGGGAAATGCAGTTCCTGATGTGGTGGTGAAGGTAAGGGGAAGATACCTCTAGTGGACACCCAGGGAACACCAACAGAAACTGTGACACTCATGAGTAAAGCTCATAACCATTGCTGAAATTCACCCTTCTGTCTATTTTACATCCTTTAGAAAAGCACTTAAAATTAAATAATTAATACACTATTAATAAATAAAAACATGTTTATTTCATACAAATGATAAATAAACAAAGAAAAAATAATGTTATTATATGGATTTTAAAATATTATATATATAATACATTATATAATACATTATAATTGTATTAAATATTTGATTTATTTATTTATTTAAACGTGTTAAAACATTCGGCAGTATACAGTATATACTCTCATGTATAAAGCTCATGATCATTGCTGATTCCTCTTATTTTTGTCCTTTAGAAAAGATCATTGAGTGGGTACTGCCTTACACGCAGTATCAGAATCAACTGGTGGACCAGGCCGCACTCATGCTGACCTTGTCTGGACGGGTCAGTGAGACCCAACAGGTTTTGGCCAATCAGACCAGCTTTAGGCTCCGAACACCTGATATCCGCATTGAGGTGAGACACCCAGAACCTTCAGCTGCATTTTAACACGTTACAGATGTTTACCCTCAAATTTGACCACAATAATATTTGTGCAGAATATTTTATTGCTTATTAAAATTGGTCTCATACTAAAACAAATGAGAGGGTTTGTAAATATGCTTTGCTTCTCGTTGTAGCCTATAGGAGAGGCGTATGTGGGCAAGGAGACGTCGGCGAAGATCACATTCACAAATCCTCTGCCCTGTACTCTGCGCAATGTGGTGGTCCGAGTGGAAGGACTGGGGCTGAGAGACCTCCATCCCATCAGAGTGGGGTAAGAACCTCAAAATGATTCAAGATTGCTCATCCTGACTAGTTAGAATGGAACATGTGCAGGATTCCATCGGAATTTTACCATTTGGAAACAATTCTGAAGGATTCTAATTTTCTTATAGCAACCCAACAAGAAGTAAATCCCATAGAGCATAATTGAACTAAGGCCTAAACCTGGCTTAATCTAAGCCCTGTCTGTGAAACTAGGCCTATATCTTTTTGACTGATTCAGTTTATTGCTCTTGTGTCTTTTTGTTTCAATAGTCACACATATAGAAGTCCTCGCTTTTCTCCCACCAATGAATGCGTTGACTTTCTCTCTCTCTCTTCCATGTTTTCTCAGTGATGTAGGCAAGCATGCCAATGTTACTGTGACGGAGCACTTTATCCCGACGATCGCCGGCCAGAGGAAGCTTGTGGCATCTCTGGACTGCAAACAGCTCTCGCAGGTGCACGGCGTAGCCGACATCAACGTTCACGAAAGCCAGTGAATTCAGTCTGCTGTAATGGACTGTATCCCTTCACGGTGTTATTTCAGTATCATCAGATCCTGTATATGTCATAACCAGTGTTGGGGACAGTTACTTTTAAAAGTAATGCTTTACAATATTGCGTTACTCCCCAAAAAAGTAACTAATTGCGTTACTTAGTTTTTTTTTATGAAAAGTAATGCGTTACATTACTTTTGCGTTACTTTTTCTCACCTGGGCTGAGCTTGCTTGTTTGTTTTTTAATGACAACAAAAAAAGTTCTATTTTTGGCATATGTAAAGGCCCTTACACACCAAAAGTGAAATGAATAAGCCTCAGGCTGAAGGAAATGCATATTTACGCCTGTACAGTAGAGGACGCCGCTCAAACAAACCTTTCAGCTGTGCTGCCATTCTGGATTAAAGAACAATGGGATACAGGAGAAGGAAGTTCAAAACTCTTATTTCTAAATCTAATCTAAAGTCATTTTTGCGTATTAGTGTGGTGGTTGAATTAGATCTTGAAGGTCAGCAGCAAAGACATTGGTTAATAAAGTGAGATTAAATACATAAAGTATATTTGTGTAATTCAATATAGTTAATTATAAAAGTTTTGCGTACAATTCTGAGATTGCATTTTACTGTTTTTATTCATTTTGCGGAATACTGAATGTTTTCGTGCAAGTGAGATGAGTAAATGCATGTTTACATTTAGTCTAGAACTAAAATAACCATTATGTTTACACAGTGCACACACACAACTCCTCCTCACTTTATTTCCCTCAACATGGGGACAGGAGAGCTGTCAGTCAATAAATGTGAAAAAGTAACTTGCGTTACTTATTTGAAAAAGTAACTTTTTTCATTGAAAAAGTAATGCGTTACTTTACTGGTTACTTGAAAAAGTAATCTGATTACATAACTCAAGTTACTTGTAATGAGTTACCCCCAACATTGGTCATAACTGTCTATTAATGAACTGTATTAACCATTCTTAAGTGCTTTACACTGAGCCACACGATTATTTCTTTAAGGTTAGACATCTTAAAGAAATAACCCTCTTTTTCAACACACTATTTTATGAAATACCTACTGTATGTGCCTGATTTTATATAGTTTATTTCATTTTACACATTATTTATTTTAAAAATGTTTTTTTTGCTTTGCTTCACTGTATATATTAACTGTTTGTTGGTTCAGTTTAGATGATCAAATGTTTCTGTTCACCACTGAAAAAACTAAGGCCTGTCGTATTACCATATATGAGTATTATAATTTTACTTATGAATCTTAATCTAAAAAAAATATTTGTAGCCAAACACATGTAGTTTCATTTTTAATTTTTTTGCCTTTCTGCTGCCTTATATTGGATATTGTTCACAATAATGGCTATTATGAATTCATTGAATGTGCCTTCAAGGAACTGAGTTAATATTGTATTCATATTGAGTTAATAACTGAGTTATAATATTATATAAAGTAAATATGATTTATTTTGCATAAATAATCTTATGCAAAATGCTGTTGTATCTTCACTTATGGTAATACTGCAAAGACTGTAAACTAACACTATTCATGTACACTTAAACTATGAAGACATATGAAGTTACTTATACTTCATGATATATTAGGTTTTTAAGAAGGATTTAAAGTTTTATGTACGTTTGTATTATTTATCTATGTAATGTATTTTTCTTTAACACATGACATTTTATTAACAGCATATTTTGATCTCTGTAGTTGTTTTTGAACATGTTTGGCCTGCTTGAACAAGACAAGACGTGTGTGTTTGATTTGGAAAGATGAAGTAAAACACTCCCTTTAGTGTTTGCACTTTAACAAATGTCATCTGTCTTCTTGAGATAACCTGTTGAAGAGTTTTATTAAACAATACAATAACACCAAACACTTGTGCATCACCTGTTCAACGAAAAATATCAAATCAGCCAGTCACATGGCAACTCAATGCATTTGGGGATGTAGACAGTGGCTGCATCGAAATCGCACACTTCTCTACAATATAGTGGGCGGAAAACGTGGAGAATTCCCTTTTTTGTAAATGAAGCTCAAGAGGCAAAGTTCCAGAAATTAAAATAAGACTTTATTGGACAAAGCCGAGATGACAGCCGGAATTTCCAAGGATCAGCATTTTTCCCTAAAAGTGATCGGGCAGACCAAACCATAAAAGTCATAGAAACTTTGAGGGATGGTAGTACCCACCTGTCTACAACGTCACCAAGGCTCGCTCCAATCGGCCTGATGGTGGCGCTACAACGATCGAAAGTCTGTAATGGCTCTTTATTGCTCTTTAATGGATCTCTGATTTGATAGTCACCGGCAAATTTTTGGGATATTTTGAATTTTTCGAAAAACCTACTTTTGCGAACTAGTCCTAGGTTTTCCGCGATGCACGCCAAAACGTTTGTGGCCACTTTTACTAAAACGTCTATCCCTAATGAGATCATTTCACCAAACTCGGTAAACTTATGTACGGGTTAGGTCTGTGGTCGTGTGAAAAAACCCCCACAAAATGGCTACAGTTACGCAACAGTCAGTCTGATTGACTTGAAAACTGGCATGTGGTGTCTTTGTCCAAGGTCCCGTGATTCTCTACGAGGACACTCACGGATCTCAAAAAACACTGGCGCCGTCGGCCAATGAATTTCGAGCGGCTGTCAGACAAGGTTAACGGAGGCCGATGGGAACGAAACTCACTGGGCCTGTTTGACTCACGGCCCTAGAGGCCTGTGATAAATTCAAAAGACATTGCCAACATGGGAGCCCTTTGTGTTTTCCACGTGCGTAAAGGATTGTAGGCCTGTATCACAAGATTTTTCGCACATGCCCACGACATTCATACCATATGGTAGAACTCCTCATTCTGAGCAACAGACCACCGTTGTAAAACGAATTGTTCGTTAAATATAAAATATTATTTAAAAAAATTACTTTCGCGAACTAGTCCTAGGTTTTTAGCTCAACCTCGATAACTGTTAAAAGCTTTAAAACTACTATATTTCCTTGGTAAAATGCCTGTATTGGCTGTAAATGGTATTTTCCATCTATGAGCTAAGTGGTTACATGGTTGCTAAATATAACATAATACCTTACAAAAGTGCTTAAAGGTAGGGTATGGGATTTGCAAAACGGCCGGCAGATTTTGAGAATACACAACTCAAAATGTCGTACCTTCTTTCCTCCAACGCTGGCCCTGACTCCACCCATTCGAAGAACATGGACGCGCAATCATGCATCTGCAAAACTCAGATGCCCGAGATTGCACTTACTATCTCTCTCTCTCTCTGTACCGGGGCGACTTGCACTTACTGTGACTGGGTCACGAGCTTTGAGTATTCGCACGAAGGGGACGTATGGTACGACCGTTTGATTGACGCACTGACTGTCCAATGATTCTAGGTGGTCTTGGAAATGATTGGCTGGAGTTTTTCGAGTCCTGCCCGTTCCACAGATGATTAAATTGCTTAATTTTCATTTCAGTGCTTCTAACTCAGTGGCTGTAAGTGGGTTAGGAATAGGATTTCAAGTGAAAAATGGTCAAAAAAGAAAATCACATACCCCACCTTTAAAGGACTTAAAGTGCTTGAACCTCGATAATTGCTGCTCGCATCTATATTTCTTGTCTGCTGTTTGGCAATGACCATGCAACTTTATTTTTTTAAGATTCACCCCACCTGCTGTTTCCCACAAATAAATCTCTCGTCTTCCTCTAAAATACTGGAATTCTGCCAGTAGACAATCAACTCTTTCCCAGAGTCAATATGCCTCTGAAAGACACATTTATTTTACACTTCTTTAATAATGGTTTGATATATTCTTTGGTAGTCATCTGTTTGATGGAAATCCCCTGACTTTACAATCACTGGTCAGTGGGCCACAATACTCTCAGACGCATTTGACCTTTTGTAATTATTGTTTCTCACAGCTTCATAATACTGCTGCTACAATTGTTTATTATATATTTAATAAATATTTTCTGCAAACACCGTATGTGACAAAAGAAGCATGTCCAAATTCACAGTTTAAAAGAATAGGCAAAACTACTTCCGGTGAGTTTTTATTTTTTACTATCCCATGAGGCCATAGAAGAGGATTTATGAATGGCAGTGACATGACGCAACCGATGCTGGTAGGTCACACAATGAAAGCATGCCGAATGTATAATTTTTTTATTTGCATTTATTTTAAATTGGATTAAAATACAAAATCATATTTGTGAGATCATGCTAGCTGTTTATCGTTGCATACTGCATACTGATTCACATGCTATTTTTACAATAGCAGGAAATATACAGTATATAGTATGCAATGAGTTAGTTTTAATGGGAATGCTCTGATGAAATCAGCTGCATTATTCTACCCGGAAAAGCTAAACTTTGAATCTAGCACCTCTTAGTGTTACTTAATTGTAATCACAAGAGGAATGAGAACTGCTTCCAGAAACACGTTTAAAAATAAATAAAGAGAAACAAATGCAGACACACTGTATTAAAGGTACAGCCTTGTATTGAGATATGCACGTTATAAAATACAGACAACCGTTTATAATGCAGAATGAAATAATTATGAAACATCTCTTAGTCAATATGACCGTCCAAACATTGTCAATGCATTCATGGCACAGGTAGCACGACTGTCTCAGTGCATGCTAAACAAGAAAACTGAATAAAATATAGGTTAGAAAATACAAATACAACCAGCTTACATTAAATTCTGCAGTACAGTCATTGAGCTTTTCCACGTTAAAGGCCACAAACAATACAATTTGATTATGAAGTGACAAGGTCTGAGAACAGCTTTGCCTTTACATGTTTCTATCAATCTGATCATCCCACAAACACAGGACAGACCTCTTTCAAAGATAGAAATGCCAACACACAAATCAATGTCCATCCTGTCTGACCATATTCAGTCTACCGTATTACAGATATTCTCAACGACTCGGTTGAACTCGTCCGGCTGATCGGCGTAGACGTGATGGGAAGCATCTTCAATCATCTGCAGAGAAAAGCCAACAACATTTACACATTTTTGTTTTTCCATGAATTTAAAACGTGCAAACGCTGTCCTTTCTTACTCACCGTGACACTGGTGAGGCTTTTGCCTCTGATCTGAGTGACAGTGTCTCCAGTCGAGCTGTCCACCCATGAGAGCGATCCGTAGAGCATGCTGACAGGTGTCGATGGTGGCAGCAGGTTCACACGCTGAACCATAGGCCTTTTGGCCCAGCCGAGAGACTCAGACATGGCTTTGAAACCCACCTCACCACTGACAGGGAAAGAGAATAAAATACACTATTGCTTCTACATCTGTAAAGAAATGCATCTCTAGAAAGTCAATGTAAAAGAGGCCATGTTATACCCTTTTACAAAGTCTTGATTTTGTTTCTGGGGTCTACCACAATATGTTTCAAGCTTAAATGTTTAAAAAACAAAAATTTTCACATATTTGACATTGTTGCAGCACCTCTCTTCCCAGTCTGTCAGTAACACTCTGTTTAGTTCCTGTCTCTATGAATCCCTCCTTCAGAAAGCGCATGTGCTCTGATTGGTTGGCTGGAGCAGTATGTTGTGATTGGTCAAGCGCTTCGAGAGTGTTTGGGAAATGCCCCGCCCCTTACCATAACGAGTTTCAACACACTACTAACTAACTCAACCAGGCCCCACCTCTTTATTTTGCGTATGCCTTGTACAGGAATTATTTAAATGAGGAATACTATATGACGTGTTCGTTCCCGGAAGAAAACTCAAGACTACAATGGAGGCGCTTCAGGGAGTTCAGAAACAGTGACACTGTATAGAGAATAACTCCCGCTGGAGAGACTCTGTGCTTTGCAACTTTGCAGACATTTTCATGCTCAAATAGCAACATCACACACTGAGTGGACATCCATGACATGCGGAGTCCCTCAAGGCTCAATTCTTGCGCCACTCCTATTCAACCTGTACATGCTCCCAATGAGCCAAATAATGAGAAAGAACCGAATCTCTTACCACAGCTATGCAGACGACACACAGATCTACTTAGCCCTATCACCTAACGACTACAGCCCCATTGACTCCCTGTGCCAATGCATTGGTGAAGTCAACGGTTGGATATGCCAAAACTTTCTTCAGTTAAACAAATACAAAACTGAAGTCATTGCGTTTGGAAACAAAGATGAAGTTCTCAAGGTGAATGCATACCTTGACGCTAGGGGTCTAACAACTAAAAATCAAGTTAGGAATCTTGGTGTGTCTCTAGAGTCAGACCTTAGTTTCAGTAGTCATGTCAAAGCAATAACTAAATCAGCATACTATCATCTGAAAAATATTGCAAGAATTAGATGCTTTGTTTCAAGTCAAGACTTAGAGAAACTTGTGCATGCTTTCATCACCAGCAGGGTGGATTATTGTAATGGACTCCTCACTGGCCTTCCTAAAAAGACCATAAGACAGTTGCAGCTCATACAGAACGCTGAGCAGAACCAGAACATGTGAACACATCACACCAGTCCTTAGGTCTTTACACTGGGTCCCAGTTACATTTAGGATTGACTTTAAAGTGTTATTACTGGTATCTTTTAATGGGCTAGGACCTCAATATATTGCAGATATGCTCACTGAATATAAACCTAACAGATCACTCAGATCATTAGGATCACATCAGCTAGAAATACCAAGGGTTCGCTCTAAGCATGGAGAGTCTGCTTTTAGCTATTATGCCAGCCGCAGCTGGAACCAGCTTCCAGAGGAGATCAGATGTGCTCCTACAGTAGTCACATTCAAAGCCAGACTCAAGACACATCTGTTTAGCTATGCATTTACTGAATGAGCACTGTGCCACTGTTCGTCCGACTGTTTTTACTGTACTGTACTTTATTTTATTTTTTATTCTAAACTGTTTTAATTTTTCTTATTTGTTTTGATTATTTTAATTTCTTCTATGTAAAGCACTTTGAATTACAATTGTGTATGAAATGTGCTAAATAAATAAACTTCCCTTGCCTTGCCTTGCCTTGCCTTGCCTTGCCTTGCCTAAAGAAAGCTAAAAATGTGAAAAAGCATAATAGGTATTCTTTAATACGACTGTACCTCGGGCTCTGGGCGTTACAGTGGTAAATGTATTGTGTCATGGTGTCGTCATCAAACAGACCCTCAAACTTCCTCTTGAAGTCAGGACGGAATCGGTTCACCAGCCCCGGACCTGCAGATGAAGATGTGATGTGAGCAAATGTGTATTTTTTCTAAGTGGAAATGAAGTCCTTTAGTGTTTTCTTGATTAACAGATAAACATCAACTTGAATTAAAGCAACTTGGCTTTTGTCAAAAGCCTAGACAGCATTTTAAGCAGGGCAAGTTTTAGGCCAGTATATTTGAATAACAAAGATGTTAATCTCATGATGCATTGTGATCAGCACAGTAAAAAAAAAAAAAAAAAGAATGCAGAAGAAGCAAGAGAAACGTTGATTATAATTATAAGTCATTTAAAGCTGCTGTAGGTAACTTTTGAAAAAATTTATTTGCTAAAACTGTCATTATGTCCTGACAGTAGAATATGAGACAGATAATCTGTGTAAAAATCAAGCTACTCTGGCTCCTCCCAGTGGTCCTATTGCCATTTGCAAGAAATACACGCTGCCGGTCAGAAACAACCAATCAGAGCCAGGAGGAATGTCTTAGCAGTGTCAATCACGCTCGTGTACGCGCTGATCACACCCCTCTCTTGCACAGCGCGAGCCGTCGTTCAAACTCAAGATTGCCGGCGTGCTGCAGCTGTGCTTATGACGGAGAAACAACCTAAACTGCCAATTCTCGAGTGACACCTGCTCATAAAACAAAGAGGTAAAAGGAAAAAGACCGATGACGATAAACAAGCGAAAAAGAAAGAATTACACAGAGCCCATTGACTCGGTGTCAAAACTCTAGCCGCATAACATGTAGATAAAATGTCACGCACTCTGCTAAGCAACAATTGAAACCTGCTAATTCACTAAAGTTACATGTAGGCTATTGCAAAATACATAATGATTTGAGGACCAAGTTTATAGTTAAAGTATGGGCAGGCCATGGTCAATGTAAAGCATATTGTTGACGTTTAGTCCCTAGTGAATGAGCCATAACTTTTTATCCGCTGTTATCGGTGGCCCTGTTTACTAGCCTGCGCGTTCACGACAGGCTCCGCTGTGGAGGACGAGCTGTGGAGGGAGGGCTGTAGCGCAGCAGAGAGCAAGGGGGTGGGACCTGGAAGTTGTGCTTGTTCAAATTTTCAGGCTAAGTCAACGTTTTCTCAAAACTCCCTGCTGCAGCTTTAATACTGAAAAGTATCAGTTACAAATTGTTCATTATTATTAATTTATTATGAAAAACAAAATGGTGTGTTTGAATATTCGTGTGATAAACAACAATGCGTCTGCATAGTTCCAGATCAGTAACATGATATTAATTTTTTAGTGGGTGCCTCTGTAGGAGCTAGAGACATCACTGCAGGTTCCTAGGCTTTGGAGCAGAGCATCATGGTCACGGTTCTCACACTCACCCCAGGGTCCAGCTGCTCTGATGACGGCCAGTGGGTTGAACAGGCTGAACACTGAAGCAAGAGCCTTCACCCAGCGAGGTGGCGATACCCTTTTCAGCTCTGACCCTTGACCTCCTGAGTCCTGTGACTGAGGCTGGGGTCTCTCAGGGAAACCCCACGCGTCCACCAGGATCAGGTGACTGACTCTAGTGGACAAAAACACAACTGGTCTCAGGGTCGTGTAGTTCAGTATATTAAAGGTTTCCTTCACCCACAAATTAAAATTCTGGCATTAATTACTCAGACTCATGTCGTTCCAAACCCGTTCATCTTCCGAACACAAATGAAGATCTTTTTGATGAAATCTGAGAGCTTTCTGTCCCTCCATTGACAGCTACGCAACTACCACTTTGACGCCTCAAAAAGTTCAAAAGAGTAAAATTAATCCATATGTGCTGATGCAATATTTATATAAAATTTATACGTTGTTTTATTATATATATATATATATATTGAAAAGTGCTTTCATTTCAAACTTCACTTTCATACAAAACATTTTTTTTCATAACATGTATAAATATTTTAAAGCGACTATAAAAAGGATCAGTAACATTTGTGTTCCATAAAATAGAATATGGGTTTAAAATGAAATAATAGTGAGTAGCTGACAGCTCTTATTGTAAACTTTTACTATTATTGCGCTATAATTGACTACATAAGCTTTCTTTGATACCTTTCTGGATATTGAATGGTATAGGACGTTGCTAGGTAACCACCCAGGCTGTGGCCCAATAGGATCATGCGTTCCAGCCCCAGTGATTGTCTCCATTGCTCTATTGAATTAACGAACTGCTCTTCGGCCAATGAGGCTTCAGATGGGAATGCCGGGCGAGAACTGCGCCCGAAGCCCAGCAGGTCAATGGCGTAGACGGGTCGAGAATGACACAATGCGTCCAAGTTACGGATCCAGAGGCCGACCCCCCCTCCAAACCCGTGGATCATCACTAGGGGCGTCTGAGCGGCTAGAGAGAGAGAACGGGACACAGTCAGACTTTTTTAAGTGTGCTAAATACTTTTGCAGCAACTATAGACGAAAATTAGAAACTCTACCTTGGTCTTTATGTTTGAGTGCGGTCTTATTGGTGACTTTAAGGGTCCATATTCTGTTTTGATTGGGCAAAGTCACAAATCTGGACCAAACGTTATTCTTGATACCTGGAATAAAAAATGTATCGGTAACATACATGAACTTAGAATGAACAATACTTCTTCAGCACTCATTAATCTTAGTTAAAATGAATTTAAACATTTACTAATACCTTTAATTAAAATCGAAGGTTAGATTAAAAATTAGATTAAAATCAAAGGTTGTATTTGTTAACATTAACAAACAATGAACAGCTGTATTTGTATTAACTAACATTAGCAAAGATTAATACATACTGTAACAAATTAATACATTAACTAATGTTAACTAATGAACCTTATTGTTAAGTGTTACCAATGTATCCTATACAAATTCTAAATATTAAAAGGGAACGGTGAGGATCTTACAGGCAATAATTTTTGCCTCTGCACTTTTCAATAAGGACATGGATGTGGGTCTCCAAGAGGGCCACCAGGACCAGTTCCCAGAGGTCGGCCTAGAAAGACAGACACATGTAAAGTCACTGGAGGGGTGAGAGCAATAGAAGGTCTATGAGACTGTCCACGCCTGTGTACATACAGCGTTACGTCATCTGCCTTTATACACAGTACAAGCCTGTCCCCTGCTGGCAATAAACCCAGTATTAATAATGCTTTGTGGCCACAATTCATTCGCAAGCACACAAAAGAAGAAAAAAAAATGTTTTAAATAAACAATGAATTATTATTAAATATTTGTATTTATGGTCTACTCTGAATTGTCATGTAAATAAAATGTTCATCTTACATTTAAACATTAATACTCCTATAAAAAATAATAAGACAGAAAACTTTAGAAGTAAATTATTTTAGGAACATTACATTATTATAAAATATTTGTATTTATGTTCTGTTCTGTACATCATATAAATAAAAGGTACCATTACCATTTTAATTTTAGTCTTACATTTAAAAATAATACTCCTATGAGCAAATAAGACAGAAAAGTTAAGTTATTATGTTAGGAGTATCACTTTAATATTCAATACTTGTATTTATGGTTTGCTCTGAACTGTACATCATATGAATAAAAGGTCCAATTAACATTTACATTTTCCTCTTACATTTAAACATTAATATTCATATACCAATAATAAGACTAAAAACTTTAGAAGTTTAGAAGCATCACTTTATTATGAAATATTTTTTTAATGGTCTACTTTTTTATTGGTCTATCATATAAATAAAATGTGCCATTAACATTTGCATTTAAATTTTTAGTCTTACAGACAGAAAAGTTAAGATATTAATTATGTTAGTAGCATCACTTCATTATTCAATATTTTCTATTTATAGTCTGCACTGTACATCATATGAATAAAAGGTGATGCTAACATTTACATTTTAAGTCTTAAATTTAAAAATGTATATGCTTATGAGATAATACAACAAAAAAATACGCTGTAAATTATTCTATATTGTTAGCTGGTTGAAAAACTGAGCCATGTACTGTGACGTAGGCTAATAACTCAGCATGACTTTGCATAACCTTATGAAATCATCCAACACAAGTCATACCAGCATGTATGATTTATTCTATTACTTCATTTCAGACATTCACGGCAGGGATCCTGAAAATAGTGAAATGTTAAACATACAGTGTTACATAATAGAAGGGCACTTCATGTTGTTACATGAGCGACTCATTGTTGTGTAATATGATTGTATTATTAAAACATATAGGGTACTTACTCTGTGTCAGTCTCGTCTTGCATTGTGGCGTTTGCAGGAGACATTATGAAGCATAATACAAGAACAATCCAGGACGAAAGACTGTTATACTTCAGATGTGTATGTTCACTACCGGATCTGTCACATACAGTCGCTTTAAAGGCCCGTGTTTGTGTTTTGTAACACTGACGTCAGCGCATTTAAAGGAGCCGGATCACAGAAATAAAATAAATGGGTGAAATGGCATGAAACGCACTGTTGTCTTAATACGTGAACATATTGGACATTTTTATGTTTCAAAACATTACTGTAGTAATGAGATTGTAAGATAAGGAATAATCTTAGCTCTGATCCATTTCCTGTAGCATTTTCTTGACTGACAGTATTTGGAATTTCATATTTATCTGGATAATTATGTTTTCTGGAAAATGTTAAACTATCAGCCAATAATTCTTTAGTTTCACAATTGTCTCTGGTTATTCAGAGTGGATTTGGAAAATTAGGCCCACGATAGAAAATTTGGTTTTGTAGTTATAATTGATGTATTTGATGTGTTATTTTGTTTTAGACATGTATTTTACAATCTAAGGAAATTGTATAGCAGATCATTTGGCTAAATTGTATTATGCTTTATATTAAAAAAATAATATTTCTATTTTTAATGTGATATATAGGGATGTCAAATCATATGTCAGTATTTTATGTCAGTCTGTTAAAGGAATTGGGTTTTAACGTCATTATTTTCTTTAATCAATAGCAATGTTCATAGTTTATTGTTGTTAATTAATATGATTATGTAATGTACCTGTTTGTTTTCTTGTACACGAACGCTTCACGAGCATCGGAACTAAAATTCACCTGCAGTTTCAATGGGGAACATTTAGTGGACGCACATCTGTCTCTCTCTGCTTACACGTCATTCATTTCCTTCCAGCTTGATTTCTAGGGATACTGTGCTCGTGTTGAGGAGAAATTATGTCTAACTCGGTATTTTCTGTCTTGTCGCGTTTTGTGGAGGAGTACAGGAGCAGCACCCCGAATAAGCTGAAGATGATCGACGCTTATATGCTGTATATTTTGCTGACAGGAGTGTTTCAGTTCCTGTACTGTGTGCTGGTGGGAACGTTTCCCTTCAACAGCTTCTTATCTGGATTCATTTCATGTGTGGGATGCTTCATACTGGCGGGTATTTACGCATATTTAATCATATATAAATAGAATCAAAAGTTATTGTTGAAAGGGCTTATATTGTATATTTGTCCAATTTATATATGTATGTGTGTTTACAATGCTAATTATTATTTTTTGCACCAAAAAGGCAAACGGTCATGTAAAACTTAATTTTTTCCCCAGTTTTTTTTTTAAATGTCTTTATAATTTCAGTATATAATCTATGCACAAATACATATACTACGGGTTCAATAAAGTTTGCAATATTTAATAAGTATATTATGCTCAACAATTTAGGCCTATCTGATAAAAAAACAGTACAATTGTGAAAAATTCATGCAATTTAAAATAACTTGTTTATGTTTTTTAATGTATGTTAAAATGGAAATTGTTTAGCTATTATTTCAGTTTTTAGTGTTTATATATATATATATATATATATATATATACACACACACAAACCATTTATATGGTAAAACAACTTATTATTAAAAAATAATAGCATATTATAATATAAAATAAATATTTATTAATTATATTGCATTGTTTTATCTTTATTTATTTAATGGGATTATTTAAAGATTATTTATTAAGATTATTAGATTAAAGGCAATCAGACAGATAAATATATATATAAAAAAATGGTATTGGTCACAAAATAAAAACATCCCAATGTTTTCTAATCCTTAACCACTTAAATAACCACCTACACCAAACAATGTTGATATATCCAGGTCTTGTATGTGTGTTTAGTGCTGTAGTAGTAAATTATAATTCATTGATAATTAGTGTCTTCGTGTTCTTCTGTCTTCAGTCTGTCTTCGCATCCAGATCAACCCTCAGAATAAAGGAGATTTCCTGACCGTCTCTCCTGAGAGAGCTTTCGCTGACTTCCTCTTCGCTCACACTGTTCTGCATCTAGTGGTCGTCAACTTTGTTGGCTGAATGAGAGCGTCTTACACCAGGTGTGTGTACAGCAGATGGTTGCGTTTTAAGAATGGTTCAAAATCACTTTTCATATGTATAATTTGTAAACTATTTAGTAAAATCTGTGTGTGATTCAGTTCCATTGCTATACGAGGTTCTGTTGTGCACAGATGAACCGTCTCATAGCTCAGAAAACAAAACAAAGCAACAAAATTGCAGATATGTATCCTGATCCTTTTAAAATAGACTGCTTGCTTGCTAAGCCAATTTCTCTAAAAACTCTCTAGCTGACAGATAATAAACCCTCTGGTGCCTTATATAGAAAAATGACCTGATACAGCAGTACATGCTTCCTTTTTTGTGTCATGCATTGTTTTTTTCTGTGCCTTAAATGGGACCTATTATGCAAAATTCCCTTTTATAAAGTCTTTAAACACATGTGTGTCAGCAGTGTGTGTAAACAACCTGCCTATAATGGTAAAATCCACCCACTCCCTTTTTTATAATCCCCATAATTCATAAACAGTCTCTCCAAACAAGAGGTTCCAGATTTCCAGAAGCCCCGCTCATGACTGCTGATGATCTGCCGTGTTAGCACAGATCATGTCTGCGCATTGTAATGCAAAAAAAAATTACAAATGGATGTACTACTGAACATAAGTCTCGATAGACTCTCAGCATCTGAGCCACTGAGGACACCGTAGTTGAATTTCATTTATGAAGAAAATGTGCAGAAAAAAGTCGTTAAAGTGTTATATATTTGCGCAAATCATTTTACGCCGGACTACTTCACACACGAGGGCCAGTGCCATGCTGGATTTCCCTAAAAGTCGTTTCTGAAAGATTTTTAGATTAATATGACAGTACATGCTAGTCGATGAGTTGAATCAACTTAACTCCACATCAACTATATACATTTGCTGACTAACTTTTTCAATAATTCACTAACTTTTCAGAAACGTTGTAACTTCTTCCTTAGTCTCTCCATCAGTGTCCGACATGTGGCTGAACACCACAACTGACCATTTCTGACATTTTAGCTGTGTGAAGCTCTCCAGTTTTGTTGTTGCTGGAGTATCATTGCATTTAAAGGCACACATACAACAATTGTGGCCAAATAGGGGCCAATTTGACAAGCGATAATAAATGATCTGTGGGGTATTTTGAGCTGAGATTTCACAGACACATTCTGGGGACACCAGAGACTTAGGCCCTGTCCCAAATGGCGCACTTAATGTGGACTTTCGGTCTCGTGGACTTAAATTGTGCGTGCTCCGTAGGCCGTCCCATTTAGCATTTTAACGCTCTGAAGTGTGCTCAGCAGCGCCCCCTTTGTACACTTGAAGCGGTCTTCCGCTTTGGATGCAGGCTCCACGCACTTTAACTACCCAGGAATCCTTGCGAAAGGCCAATCAGACAACGGATGGGAGGAGATTTCGCTCACGGACAATTGTTAACATGGCTGAGAAGAAAATATTTAAGTGTAATTATCATTACGGTTTTTATGACAAGTTTATACAAACATTATGATCATCGACCAGTGGTTGATGTCTCAAACATAGGCTAATAATAGCGAGCTGAATAATAGGATCGCATTATGATTCATTAAATAAATAGATCAGAATGTCAGGGCTTTACTGAGTCATATGTAAACACAACAACAATAGGCAGCATATTTCCCCGAACCTGTAGCTCCTGTCCATAACAACAATCAGACCGTCTTCCTGTTTCCGGCGTGACGATCGAGTCTGTCCCAAAAATACCTCTCAATGCGGACTCGCGCTAAGGGCCCTATAGGTCTGCACTACATGACGTCACCGAAGTGTGGACTCTGAGGAAGTCCTCAAGTCCGGAGTGTGCCATTTGGGACAGGGCCTTATATTACATCTTGTGAAAAGGGGCATCATGGGTCCCTTTTAAACTGTCATTGCTTTATTCCATCTTTCATTCCATGTTTAGTTTTTAATGTTCATGTTCGTTCGATGAGGCTTTCAATTAACATACGTTAATTTAGAAAAATGTAAACGTTCAATGTAAAGTTATCATCATGATACATGACAAATTACTGGAGCTTTAGGAAGAAATCATCCCAAAATATTTTCTTTAATTGTCTGTAAATGTATGTTTTATTAGTGCTGTCAAATCGATTATCTAACATAAAAGTTTGTGTCTGTGTTATTTTATGTCAGATGCGATTAATCGATTTGACAGCACAATTTTTTACATGTAACTTGTTTTCTCAAGATGAACTGGTCTGGTGGACCACCTTTGATGAATTATATTTGTTTTCCACAGATATGAAGACCAAATCCTGCAGAACAACTACAAACACAACAGTCTGTGGATCTCTCAATGTTAATATATGTTTTGACAGAATTGTCAATCATGATCAGTTCTCGTCCTGTTCCTTAATTTTTCTACTTTTGTAAAACTTTCTGAAAGTTACTGAAAGAAAATAAATGCCTTTAAAAACAATGCAGTGATCCTGTTGTGGTGTTTCTAGGTAACATATAGGTACTCACATCTGAATCTTTGTGTTTAAGATATAGTTTTAAAATGTATATAAAAATTAAACGAGCCTATTTTTGTTGTATTTTTTTATTTTGAGTCTAAATGAAACCAGAATCATTCTGACATTATGGTTAAAGTTACAAACAATGAAGCAATTCATTTTTGCAGACATCAGTGTGAAAAAAACACATTTTGTGTAAGGATTACAGGCCACAATCTATATTAGCATTGCACAATTTGTACTGAACACAATTGCAGTGTGGAACACAAAAGGTTAAACTCCCACATCTGGTTATGGTTTAGGCAGAAGTGAAAGTAAACGCAGATATTCCTTCTCGCAACAGCTGTCATTAGGAAAGAGGGGCTCCGACGGTTTATCACTCTCGAGCTCAGCGATGACTCTTTCGCTACTTCTAACCATTCTTGTTCTCGGTGAACTGCCAGGTGAGCTTTAATCATTCCTTTTGCAAAAACAAATATTGATAAGGCATTGAAACCATTTTCCTAAACTGTTAATTAGAGGAGAGCTTGGAAACTTGTTTAGAAAGCCGTTCTGCAGCTAAAATTGGTCATGGGTTTAAACTTCCTCTCTTTGGAGTATTATATTGAACTGTTAGCAGTTTTAAAACCCAGAATTGAAAAGTGTTCCTATAGTTATCTAGTAACTTTCATATGAAGGAAAAAGCTGTGACCCAAATTCCAAGTATTTGGAAGTGCGTCTAGTAGCTTTTCCAAACACAATGTTTTTAAGTTTTCATTTTACAAAAGAGTCTTTTGAAAATACAAGTGGAATTTTTTTTTATTTATTTATTTTTTATGCTTGATTGTAGTTTTTGGAAAAATTGACAGACAACAGCTTTTGGATGTTTTGAATGTCATAAGTTAAATGAAAGTAAAAAAAAAACTGGACTGAAAACGGGCCTATTGGCCACAGTAACAAACGGCCATTTTATGCAGCCATTGTAAGATATTTACAGTTTTCAATTATTTAACATGCCTAAAAAAGAGTTTTAGCTTTATATAGAAATTACAATGCTTTTTTGCTTTTATGAGTGTAATACCAGAAGCATTCTGGGATTATTATTAATGTTAGAATGAACCAATGTATTTTTTTGTGCAATCCATCTACAAGATTACATAAATGATTAAATAAGCAATAGTAATTTGAATATGTACTAATGATTTAAAAGCCATTCACTCTGTTCATCTGCATTCATAGACAGAGAAAGTATGCGTATCACTGGAGAGACTTTTTGAGTCTTTTGAGGTCAAGAAACAAAATGATATGATATATTTATATTAAAGAATATATTTGAATTGCCATGAACTCGTTTTTGTAATTTATTGCTGTTTATAGCCTATATAATACTTTTATTTGTAATATTGGTAACACTTTACAACTTACAAGGTTTAATTTAAGATCAGTTAATTACAATTGTGAACATTAACAATAAACAATCTACAGTTTTGATTAATCTAGTCAATCTCTGCATTTACTAATACAATTTTAAGATCAAAAGTTGTATCTGTTAACATTATTTAAAGGTCAATTTTTTTTTTTTAAATTAACAAAATGTGAACGAGTCAATGCATCATCGTCACTTCTTCCAAAAGGTGTTTGTCTTGCCCCTGATCCACTATGGTGAAGCCTACTATAAGTGTTATATTTTAGACCTAGGTGGTTTTCACAGGAAATGGTGTCTCGCCCATGTGTGTCTCGTCACCTTTATTTATGTAGCGCTTTATATACAATACAGATTAACCATACAGGGATACACAGGAAAATAATGATTCTATGATGCAAACAGAATTCAATTCTGTTTTAAAGCAGCTCTAAAAGGACAATAGTAAGCATTCATTATTCAGTTTAAAATCTGTTTAGTGTTGATTCAGTTTGGGTCTGTAGAAAACAATGATGTCATCGTCCAGCTCAGTTCAGCTCTCATCCAATAGTGTCAGTGCATTCAATAATTTGGCAGTATATTAAGTCATATATAGAGAAAAGTTGCTCCAGCTACTTTGACCTGTATCTGGTGTGGCAGAGGTTAGTTGTCAACGAGTGAGAAAGGTTGAGATGGAGCAGCTAAATCTCAAACCTCGGGAGTCACTCATTTAAAGAGGAGTGTCTGCTGGCATAAAAAAAAGATCGCGAGAACTTGTAATAAAACAAGAATCAACATCGGCTTGGCTTTTCGGAGGTGGCAAAAAAAAACCTGGAGGGATTTGCAATGAAGTGACAGTGACACACGGGATTACATTTGTATTATTCAACCTGTAAGGCATTTTAACTGGTAAATTTCATCATGTAGCTCTCCAACAGAGTTCACTGTAAAGCATTATCTTGTAAAAGCTCACATTCATCCATTCAAGTGGTATCATTAAATCTTGGAGCTTTTCATTATCTGTCCGTTATCTGTTTTTAGGTTCCTACTGCACCGTGACCACTGTAGGAGACCTGGCTGTGCTGGAGGGTCAGTCCGTCACTGTCCCGTGTCACTATAACCCGCAGTATATCAGCCATGTGAAGTACTGGTGCAACGGCTGGACGAAGGACTTCTGCTCCAGCCTGGCACGCACCGATGACCCCACATCAGCCCCTAACGCCAGGGGAAGGGTGACGATCGCGGATGACCCCTCGCAGCATGTGTTCACCGTGAGCATGCAGGACCTGACGGTGGGGGATTCGGGGTGGTACCGGTGTGGGGTGGAGCTCGGAGGGATCTGGGTTGCTGACAGCACTGCCTCCCTTTATATCAGCGTCATTCAAGGTGAGTTAAAGCTGCAGTCCGTAGTTTTTCCTCTTTGTCGCCATCTCTGTTCAAAATCTGCAATTGCAGTCATTCGCGGAATTATCAACTTTACGTGGGTTGTACTTCGACACCCTCGACACGGCACAGCGCGGATGAACACAATGTTTGAGTAGACTGTGAGGCTGTCAGTCACCGCGCCGGTGTGGATACTGGCATTCAGAATCACAGATTATACTTTTTGGAAGTATGACCAACATAATAATTTTCACCGGAAAATGTCTGAACTAGTGAGAAACATCCACTTTTGTTCTGGTTCTGACATTGCAGTAAATCGCGCTGATTAAATCCAACAATCGCTTATAAGTTATCATATCACGCAAAACCGTGCAAATTATACTTTGTTCTCAAATTGTTAATGTTAACAACGTCAGCATTGCGTGACTACATGTAATTTCCTTCCGATATGTATCCTTGTTTTCGCATGGGTCCGGTTGCAGTCTCTTCTTTCTGTAGCCACTCCGAAGTCCGAACGAAGTCTTTTGCATTTTACAGCGGGTGAATCTCTAGTTGTCACTGGTGATCGTTGTTTGAACCTTTCTGGATCCGCCATTAAATTGATAAGTTTGATTATATCAAGAGCTGTGAGAAAAGGCTATAAATCTCCACCTCCAGCATCCTCACACGCAATATAGCTTATACTAGCCGAGACTCTTCTTTATGTGTACAGATGTGGTGTAATGACTCAATATAGCCTACTAGCCGAGACTCTTCTTTATGTGTACAGATGTGACGTAATGACTCAATATAGCTTACACTAGCCGAGACTCTTCTTTATGTGTACAGATGTGACGTAATGACTCAATATAGCCCACTAGCCGAGACTCTTCTTTATGTGTACAGATGTGATGTAATGACGCAAAGACATGCTCGAATCTCCCGCGGAAATCCACCAGTACCACTGGAATTAAAAACATTATTACAAGCTTACCGCTTTGAATCGAGCTACGGCAAGCAGAGAGATTTGAACACTGGTTATGTATTTTCTCAAATATGTATTTTGGATAATTTTTAACCCAAAAAAAGCACGGACTGCAGCTTTAAGAAAATCATTTGATTTGGCTATGCTAAATCCGGCACACTACTCAAAATTACATCATAAAAATTAGCTAATTAGCAGAAGTTGGGCATTTTTTATGTTATAGTGATATATAAAACGTTTGCCTATACAATAGCTGATAATTATTTTAATGCTAGTGAATTCAACAAAACTTGAAAATGTTGTCCCCCCCCCCCCATCCCACCCCACACCCAAACTCCAAAAAACATAAGACCATTAAGAGGTTTGCATTGTGATTATTGTTTTCATGCCACATTTCCTTCTATATTTGTATTAATACAGAACAATCTCATTCACATTACTGCACAGTGGAAAAATGTATTTATACATTTAAAATATTTATAAATTATATATTAACATTTTATTCATCATTCTAATATTTCTGGGTACATCCTTTTAATTTATGGTAATTTCAAATAAGGTCAAATTTGACGATTTGGAGGGGAATTAAAAAAATGCTGGTTTTCCTAAAATACTTCCTAATTTCCTAAAAAACATGAAGAAGCACAGCTGTTTTTTCCCCAACATTGATAGTAATAAGAAATGTTTCTTGAGCAGCAAATCAGCATAGAATGATTTCTGAAGGATCATGTGACACTAAAGACTGGAGTAATGATCACATGAATAATTTGCATTTTAAAATATATTCAAATAGAAAAGTTATTATAAATTGAAATATTACTGTTTTTACTGTATTTTTGATTGAATACAATACATTTTCCAGGTTGTGAAAGACTTTTAAAAACATTCAAAAATCTTATAGACACCAAACTTTTGAACAGTAGTAATATAAATGTGTTTAAGTGTGTGTGTGTGCCCTTTTTAAATGCAAGTTTTTCTGCTGACTGTATTGATTTAAAACGATTGTTTCTCATATTGATATGTTGTCCATCTCTAAATGAGATCTATAAACCACTGAAGCGTTTGTGAAGGTGTCATGATGGCGGTGTAGTCAGCGTGGTGGTTTTGTTGCAGGTGTGTCAGTGGTGAGCAGTATGGTGAGTGCAGATGAAGGCAGTAGTGTCACTGTTCAGTGTCTCTATAGTAAGAACCTCAGGTAACTAGGCTACCCAGCCAACAAATTTATTTTTTACATTTATTTTCATGAGGCATATCTTGCACTAAATTCTCATTGCTGCAATGCATTAATAATATATATATATATATATGTATATGTGTGTGTGTGTGTGTAATAAAAATTTTGCACTGCAGGTCCAGTGAGAAGCAGTGGTGTCGCAGTGGGAACTGGAAGTCCTGCATGGTGACGGATTCTGAAGGAACATTCAGCAGTAGAAACGTGCTCATCCACGATGACAAGAACAGCATGTTCACTGTGACACTAACACAGCTGGAGATGAGAGACTCGGGCTGGTACTGGTGTGGTTCCGGTCAGAAGAACGGGCTTGTTCATGTGTTAGTTACACCACAAGCCACAACACGTATGTTGCACACATAGACAGTAAAAGCCTATTGCTAACATCACTACATTCTTACATTTTTTGTTGAAAGTGCAAAACTTGCTGTCAGGATGTTGAATACAGTTGCTAAGATGTTTTAAGTGCTGTATGGTTGCTGCCGCATTGCATTACTATGAACGTTCGTTTGGGAATAGAAAATAAAAAAAGGTAATTGCAACTTTTTATTTCGCAATTCTGACTTTAGTTACGAGTTTAGATGTAAATTCAGAATTGCAAGACAACCTCTCAATTTTGAGGATAAAGTTGCAGTTGTGAGAATTAAAGTCAAAATTGCGAGATATAAACTTGCAATTGCAAGAAAAAAGTCAGAAAAAAGTTTTTCAATTCTAATGATATTTTTTTTATCTCACAATTCTGACTTTTTGCAATTCTAAGTTATTCTATTCTAACACTTTCCTTAGCATGTAGCTGTGATCTCATTGTTAAATTGATGTTGATTTACAAGCAAGGGACCAGAATAACTCGCGTGAATGTACACAGTTTTGTTTAACTAAATCACTAACACATAACTATCTAAAGTTAAACAAACACATACACACAATCATGCATAAAGATTGGATAAAAATGGAAAGTGAATGGAACCGGAACCAGAAACAGGGAATGAAGCCATGAAACGAGTTATTTAACCGTCTGAACAGAACCATCAGTTTCTTAGTTCAAAGCACCATGTTAAGAATGCCCTTTCAAGGTTGAAATAACCCAATATGGTCGTATCAATGGCAGAAATTAATTCCACATACCATAATTAGTCAAAATAGAGGTATTACATGTGTATAAACGTTCAGAAATGTTTGATTATTTGGCCATATTTGATTTGACCATTAGGTAATTCGTGGCACTATGGCGGACGAGCACCTCTGTGATTTTTCATGTGTAGGGACCCACTAACTCAGTTCAAGTTAGAAATTCCCCCAACAGCCAATTGCGAATGGGTCTACAGGCCAGGTCCAGGATCACCTCTAATAATAAACCTCTGTTTAGTTAGTTAATTGTACGATACCTGCTTTGCCTTAGCTGTTGAAAAGCGTACGGATGCAGTCACTCATGTCGTGAGTCAATGGTGTTGAAGTTGCAATCAATTTCTTCCGTGTTGAATGAAGACATTTGAATGAACTTGCGATGTTAGTCTGACTGTTTAAACATAGCTGGTCTTAGTCGAACAGCAAAAGGAAGATGTAAAAAAGAAGGGGATCTGTATTGGGGTCTTTAACCTCTGAGGATGCTCTCTCCTCATACATAGGTGTCAGTGAGCCAATGGTAACTTAAAGGGTTAGTTCACCCAAAAATGAAAATGAAGTCATTAATTACTCACCCCCATGCTGTACCAACCCTGTAAAACCTTCGTTCATCTTCGGAACACAAATGAGTAATTATACTTCGGGGTGAGTAATTAATTACTTAATTATCATTTTTGGGTGAACTAACCCTTTAAATTCGGAGGGAAAGTTTACGACTCTGTCTTCAAGCATGGTCATTTGCATATGTAACTGGATTGGGTGTTGATGCAGAGACCATTAAAAACAACTGTTCTTGTAATACTAATACGTTGCACATGTATTAACATATAATATACACAATCAATTAGATCATCAAAATAAAAATTCGTAGATACCAAACATGGTCAGGTTACATTAACTGGTGGTTCCATTATAAAGCATGCATAAAACAGTGCAAAATACACTATATAGGACAGTAATAATCATACACACAATGTTCTGGAGAAATATGCTCCTTCAAAGATGTTCTATGAATGAATGAATGTGGAAGATAGGCATTATAGGCAGTGTGTGTGTGTGTTTTAATAGAGGTATGGAGTGAGATTTGACTCTTTCACATTCTTTTTGGTAAATGGCTGTTAGTCGCCTCATTCATGCCTCATTTTGTTCTTGGTTAAGGTGTTTTAAAGATTGTTAAATATAACAAATAATAATGTCTAATTGGTCCAGCAGTTACAGACGAAAAGTCAGAATTGTGAGATAAAAGGTCACAATTAGCTACCTTTTGTTTAACGTGGTGGAAACAGGCTTCCATACATCACTGATCTGAAGTTAAACTCTACTGAATTTTGTCCCATTTGTTCTGTGTCCTTGTGCCAGGGGCCACAGTGTCTCCTGTCCAGTATCTGGAGACAACAGTCCGGGCTCCGTCTGTAATGGGCACAAATGACCCTCACAGGTGACCTCTGTATATTTCCTCATGACTGTTTTCACAGCAATGCTTTCAGCAATGAGCGATGCTGAGATCTGTGTCACATACACTCTTAAAAATAACTGTTGTCTATTGACATTGATGGTTCCATGAAGAACCGTTAACATCTATGGAAATGCTCCAATCCACAGAAATGCTTAATGCTTCTATACAGTGGAAGAATTTTCTTTAGATTTTTAAAATGTTCTTCACACTATGAAAATAACGTTTCTTTTAAGAACTGATTACTGAAAGGTTCTTCTATGGCATCGCTGTGAAAAACCCATTTTGGAACCTTTATTTTTTATAATGTATGAATATTCTTTTACCATTAGTTGATATTTGGGTAACACCTTATTTTGATGGTTCCTTTTGAACAATCTTTTGGCTACAAGTAACTATGCAACTACATGTCAACTAACTCTCGTTAGAGTATTAGTAGACTGTCTGCTTAATATCTGCTATCTCTTTTTTGTGATGTGATAATTGTTTATTGTGATAAGTTTGCAACTACTTATTCTAACCCTATACCAGTCTACTAATAATTTACTAACACTAATGAGAGTTACTCAACGTTACTTATAGTCAACAGAATGTGTTAAAGGGACCATCGAAATAAAGTGAACCCGATTTTGACCAACACTAACATTGGTATTCGACTAACACATCATGTCTGTTTTCAGTCGTCCTGTTTGGGAGTCTCCTCTCGTGGTGTGTGGGGTAGTACTTCTGGTCATGACTGTGTCTCTGGCACTTTGGAAGTTGCGGAAACAGTATAGTACGTTTTTTTGTTTTTAGTGGCTTAAAATGTTATTGGTTACTTACAAACTCATCTGGAACTTTAGTCCATTCTGATTTCTAAGCTTAAACAATGTCTCTGGATTTGTAGACTACCTGTTTTCCATCAATTAACCTCATTTAGTTTGAGGTTGTGTTCTCATTTTTCTGTGAATAATGCTTCACAACTATTTTTTGGTTTCATTTTGCAGAGAAAAAGCAGAAGCATCAAAGGACAACGATAATCGGACAAACGAACGAGAATCTCACAGTCAGTGCAATTTATCTCTGTTATCTAACAGACAAATTACCCAATTTACTTTCTTCATGTGTGTAACCTCTCTTTGAGGATGATACATTTGTGCACGTTATTATGAAAACGGAATAAGAAATTAAAAATGTTTACTTTTTTCCCTCAGAATTGTGAGATATAAACAAGCAATCAAAAAAGGGTTATTGCTACTTTTTTCCTCACAATTTCGAGTTTATATCTCACAATTCTGAGAATAAAATAATTCAAAAGGTATAAACTGACAATTCCGACTTTTCTCGCATGCGAACTCGCAATTCTGATTTATTTATATTTCTGAGAGTTGTGAGATAAAAAGTCGCAATGATCTTTTTTTTACTTTTTATTCCATGGTGGAAACAATCTTCCATAGGCCAATATGTTATCCCAAAAATGTGTCAGTTTGGTGATTTGTGGAGAATAAAATTGGCATCTGATGGAGCATGCTTTTCCCTTAATTATTTAGCTTGAAATAAGTATTGTAGTTATTAAATATTTGCTTGTTTATAAATAAAGAAGGTTTCAATTGGTTCCAGACAGACCATTAAATATGACATTATAGTGTCTTGGAAGCAAATCTGGATCCTTATCTTTCATTCAAAACTGCCACAGCCTTGATCTCTCTCTTATTGATTACTTTAGTCTCCGCCCACTCCTCCTGCACCAATCAGAACACTTGACTGCTTACTAATCACAGCTGCACTGGTGTAATGGAGGTTATAAAGCTTTTTATAAAGATTTTGTGGTGACCAGCATAGATCTCCATAATAAAGGCTAGATGTCTTACGGCGGAGTCTCTATCGTCATCACCGGCGGCCATCTTGTCACAGGCAAGCTTTCTGGCGGGCTCTGTGGTACCTGATGTAAGATGAGTGATCAGCACGAACACAAATACTCTTATCTCGTTGAAATCTTGACGGATTTACAAACGGTTTGGTTTATTACAAACGTTATTAACGTGGCTATACTTCTGGATGATTATTTATTGATACACTTATTATTCATAAGTGTGCAGTGTCATAACTGCATCTCTGACGTTTATAACAAACCAAACCGTTTGATAATCGGTAGAAAATTGAGCAAGTTATGGTTATTTAAAAAGTACATGCACCCTTAAAACAATGTTACGAGTGAGCGAGCTGCCTGTGACAAGATGGCCGCCAGGTGCAGACGTCGACCTCCATTGGCCAGCAGCGCGGATGACACATCTAGCCTTTATTATGGATATCTATGGTGACCAGTGTAGGTTTAATGATGCAAATGGTGATGACAAGTTCTTCCGGATGTGTTATTTGATAGTATTCTACTTGTTTGCAGATGTGTCCATGGACAGAAGGAGACTACAAGAACACATCAGTGATTTTCCTAAACACACCAGCTCAGCAGGTCCAAATGCTCTAACAGGAGCCTTATGGGAAACAACTCATGGACATTCTGATGATGGAGAATTTAAAGTGAACTGATGGACACTTATGACTCAAGTTTTTTTTAACAACTCAATGAAAGACCCACAGAATCGAGAAACTAGGGTTATGTTTGACATTTCTTCACATTTAACAGTTAAATAGAGCATAATCTTTCATTTCAATGCATTTTTCATGTTGTGTACTGTTCATGTTTATCTGTCTGTAAATAAAAGTGGATTCATGGCATGTTGGAAATATCGTAATTACGAGATTCCAACTTGTATACTCAGAATTTTCTGAAAGCTCTTACTTGTACCATGTGTCTGCTGTACCACCTGACTGCTGCAGATACATTTTTGGCGTTGATAGTGTTGCCATAGAAACACATAAATCCGAGTCCACGAGAACAGCTTTGAGTGGAACGCCACGGATTGTCATCTAGTGATTGACCCTTCGCTAAGCCCCGCCCTCCTTAGTTACTGTTGCTACGCCTGTCAAGCTTTCGTGGCTGCCACGTCTATTACAGTGTGAATGCACCGGTGTCAGACATTCCCAAGGAGATAATTAGTCATTTTTGCCGAACAGGTGAAATATCTGAGAGATCTAGACAAAAGGGACCGCAGTATGCTTTTGAGGGATATATCCACGACATAATATGCAACCGATTAGAGAATAATTTCATCAAAATTGAAGCTAAAGCCTATAACGTGGTCCCAGCGCAAGCACTAGCAGCCTAGCACCTAGCTAGCAGCACTAGCGCCTCCTTAGCAGACCATTCACATGGGAAACACACAAATTGAGGAACAGCTAGCTATGTTCATGCACAGCAGAGTAAGTGAAATGTGAAAATAATCTAATAATTACAAATCAAACAGCTTATCCATCAATCTAATCAACCGGGAGAGCCGCGATCGGATTGGGGTAAAGTTATTCAGGGGTAACGTTAGTAGGCCGTCGATTAACAAAATGCTGAAATATATTTTAAAGTATGTCAGTGAGCCTCCGTCTTGCCTTTAATCGTCTTATTTTACGTTCAAATATACACTCACCGGCCACTTTATTAGGTACACCTGTCCAACTGCTCGTTAACACTTAATTTCTAAGCAGCCAATCACATGGCGGCAACTCAGTGCATTTAGGCATGTAGACATGGTCAAGACAATCTCCTGCAGTTCAAACCGAGCATCAGTATGGGGAAGAAAGGTGATTTGAGTGACTTTGAACGTGGCATGATTGTTGGTGCCAGAAGGGCTGGTCTGAGTATTTCAGAAACTGCTAATCTACTGGGATTTTCACGCACAACCATCTCTAGGGTTTACAGAGAATGGTCCGAAAAAGAAAAAAACATCCAGTGAGCGGCAGTTCTGTGGGCGGAAATGCCTTGTTGATGCCAGAGGTCAGAGGAGAATGGCCAGACTGGTTCGAGCTGATAGAAGGGCAACAGTGACTGAAATAACCACTCGTTACAACCGAGGTATGCAGCAAAGCATTTGTGAAGCCACAACACGCACAACCTTGAGGCGGATGGGCTACAACAGCAGAAGTCCACCGGGTACCACTCATCTCCACTACAAATAGGAAAAAGAGGCTACAATTTGCAAGAGCTCACCAAAATTGAACAGTTGAAGACTGGAAAAATGTTGCCTGGTCTGATGAGTCTCGATTTCTGTTGAGACATTCAGATGTTAGAGTCAGAATTTGGCGTAAACAGAATGAGAACATGGAACCATCATGCCTTGTTACCACTGTGCAGGCTGGTGGTGGTGGTGTAATGGTGTGGGGGATGTTTTCCTGGCACACTGTAGGCCCCTTAGTGCCAATTGGGCATCGTTTAAATGCCACGGCCTACCTGAGCATTGTTTCTGACCATGTCCATCCCTTTATGGCCACCATGTACCCATCCTCTGATGGCTACTTCCACCATGTCACAAAGCTCTAATCATTTCAAATTGGTTTCTTGAACATGACAATGAGTTCACTGTACTAAAATGGCCTCCACAGTCACCAGATCTCAACCCAATAGAGCATCTTTGGGATGTGGTGGAACGGGAGATTCGCATCATGGATGTGCAGCCGACAAATCTGCGGCAACTGTGTGATGCCATCATGTCAATATGGACCAAACTCCCTGAGGAATGCTTCCAGCACCTTGTTGAATCTATGCCACGAAGAATTGAGGCAGTTCTGAAGGCAAAAGGGGGTCCAACCCGTTACTAGCATGGGGTACCTAATAAAGTGGCCAGTGAGTGTATGCATTATGAACAAAGACGATCATTAGTTATTAACTTAGGCCCTGTCCCAAATGGCACACATATGCACTTACGGTCTTGTGGACTTACAATGGTTGCCGTGTGCGCGTGTCCGTTAAAGGAACACGCCGACTTTTTGGGACTTTAGCTTATTCACCGTATCCCCCAGAGTTAGATAAGTCCATCTCCGTGTGTGCTGTAACTCTGTCTGACGCCCCCACCCCAGATAGCACACGTACGTCTGCAAGATGTCTGTTAAAGATCCCTTCATCTGGAAAGCATCTGCTGTTTACTAACATCTGATAGACATCTGTAAGATGTCAGTTTAACATTCATTCTAAATCATTACATCTTAAAGACATCTTCTAAACGTCTATTTGACATCTGACAGGAAACGGACGTATTGCAGATGAGCAAACACTCTAAAAAATACGTCTTCCAGATGTAAACACACACATCAAATAGACTTCTCTGTGATGTACGTGTGCTATAAGGGACCGCTAGCCTAGCTTAGCACAAAGACGAGGTAATCGGCTCCAGCTAGCATACTGCTCCCAATAAGTGACAAAATAACACTTTCCTATTTACATGTTGTGATTTGTATAGTCACAGCGTTTACAAATAACAAGGTCACATGAGACACAGCCATCTTCTAACCGCTTCATTTGGAAACACAAGGGGGATGGTTTCTTCACTGTACCTGTTGTTTTTGGAAGCTTCTTATAAAAGGTTACCGGTGGTAGACATTTGGCACAGAGATATTTATGGGACTGATTCAGAGGACAATATTGAAATATGTTGGGACTCAATATGGGCTAACCTCAAACATATTTCTAAGAATCCTAATCATCAATTGATTCATTTCAAGATGATTCAGAGGATGTATCTCACTCCCAGGAAGCGTCATTCAATGAAGCTTTCCACCTCCCCTAAATGTGACTTGTGCTCTAGTGGGTGCATAGGGACATATATGCATATGTTTTGGGATTGCCCTGAAGTTAATGAATTTTGGAGACAGGTCTCCATTACGTTGAAGGACATTTTGGAGTTGGATATATCATGCTGTCCGAAACTCTTGCTTCTAAATGAGGACTCCTCTTATACTCTCTCTTTAACTCAGAAAAAGTCACTTTTTTGTGGACTTACTGCCGCTAAGAAAATGCTTGCCTTGCGCTGGAAACCCCCACATTCTCTAGCGTGGAGTCACCGGATGCATTCTTTCTTGGACATTGCGAACATGGAGCTCTCAGTGGCAAGATTGCATGGAGCTTCTCAGAGGACTATTTCATCATGGTCAGGTGTCATTTAAAAAATGAAGGAGCGTCTTTAAAATATATATCTCATGTTCTTCTTTTTATTTATTGTATTTGGTTTTTGATCTATACTGCTCTTAGACTATGTATCCTCTGAATGTAACCTTGGGAGATGGGGGTGGGGTTGATACGGTCGCCTTGGGAATTTGGGAGGGAAAAAAGAAAAGAGAATGTGTTCAGAATGATGTTTATTTTACTTTTGGTTTTGTACATAACATTCTCTACTCAATAAAAATTTGATAAAAAAAAAAAGCCATCTTCTAACCGTATGCATACTGGGAACTGTGTTCCCATGGACAACTATGGATGTTTTCTTACTAAGAGCTGTTTATTAAACACAGTGAACGAAATGTGTGAATGATTTTAGAAGCCTACTGAGTGTCTCAATCTTGTTATTTTTGTATGGTCATGTTTTTTATCAGCATTTTTCCATTATTAACTTCTGTACAGAAAAAGTGCTTCATTCACATTTAGTTTCAAGCTGTATTGAAATGTTTATTTGAGGTTGTTTTGTCACCTGCTGTCTATTCTTTTGCTTACAAGTGTTAACCACAAACAACCCATTTCTGCAGTGACCCAATGCAGTAGTTCTATAATTGTAAAATGAGAACTACAGTCTGGGAAACATCGCTATACTACCCAGTAATACCAGATGGAAACGCTTTTATATTGACCGCATTGCACGTAAAGTAAATAATTATTTTTCAGAATAATTTTAGGCTTCTCGTCCAAGTGATGCATTTGTGATTTTTGTAACATTTGCAATCAAGCATTATGACATTTTATTGTAAATCAAGTTTTATGACAAGCAACTAAAGAGCACGGATGCAGGAAGTGAGAGTCTAATACAGCTAGAGCATGGAATCATAGGCACACCCTATGTGATAAGCTTTCTGTAGTATACAAACAAGGAAAAGACGTACGCAAAGATGATGCAGAGAGAAGAAACATTGCAACTTTTTGCCAGAAGGAATGTCAGTTTGAAGAAGTTCATTGTGTTTTTCCTTTGGTTTATAACAGGCAAGTGTTTATTCATTCATACGGTTAGTTCTGCTGCATGACATGCTGTACTCCATCTAAAACTTTTTCAAACAGCATTTTACAATATTTATTTTATAATTACAGACTTTTAATAATAGAGAAATTACTTTGTCATGCCACTGGACTATTTAAGATTAACCTAGTGAAGATAAAAAGTGCCTTTGAAAGAAATGGTGACTAAATACTGCATTTTACCTTATACATTCATATTGATTTTGACTTGATCTTGATTTTAAAAAAGCCCAAGCGCATGTTTGGTGTTGCCTATATATTGCATTTTTACTGATCCTTAAAAAAAATGGTGTGGTGCATGTAAATATAAATATTTTATGTCATTAACATTGACAAGTCAAACTAAAGTTGATCTTTTCTTCGCTCAGGTCCTGAATGCACAACAGGATCAGCAAGCAGAGAGTTAACGGTTCAGACTGGAGGATCTGTCGTTATTCCATGTTATTATGACAGGAAACACACAGAACACAAGAAATACTGGTGCTTTCATGCAAAATCGGCATTTAATTACTGCTCTATTCTGGCATATGCTAATGAAACCAAAGGAAAAGTGTCAGTAATGGATCATCCAGATCAGAGTTTCTTTACTGTGACTATGAGAAACCTGCAGCGTGAAGACACTGGATCTTACTGGTGTGTTGAGGAGATTGGAGGAATATTTCAAAAAGATGAAACAGAGCAGCTTCATCTCACAGTTCAATCAGGTTTGAGATGAGTTTCACATTCAGATGAATAATTCTGATCCTGATTCCTAATAAATCTCAATGACTTGTGTCTGTGTGTTCAGCTCCTGATGTGTCTGTGAAGAACAGCAGTGTATCTGGACATGAAGGTGATAATGTCAGTGTCCAGTGTTTCTACACTTCTGGATATCAGAATAAACTCAAACAGTGGTGCAGAATTAAAGACCAGAGCTGTTACACAGTGGGGAGGAATGACACATCCCAGAATTCATCAGTCCAGATCAGTGATGACGGGAGAAGCTCCTTCACTGTGTTGATGACTGGACTGAGACTCAGTGATTCTGGATGGTACTTCTGCTCTGCTGGAGATCAACAGGTTTCTGTTCAACTCACGGTCACTGGTAAAACTCATTCACTAATCAAATCTATATAGGTATCCCTGCAGGACAATTAAGGAAAAAATGCTAAAATACATTTGCATCTTTTTCTGCATTCAGACTTCTCTCTTGAAGATCCACATGTTCCTGTTCTCACTGAACTAATACCAGGTAATACAGACTCTTATTTGTGGTTATGATAAATTCATAATAAATAATTGTATTATTTTATTCTTTGACGGCGTGATCACATAAATATTTGAGAGCAACCAGTTAGCTAAGTAAAATATTAATCAGGATTAATATTTTCTGTCATGGCCTGATTGATTAGAAATGTATGTAACACTTTTGATTCTCCACTTTAGACATTCTTACATTGCAACTACATGTCAACTAGCAATCATTATTAGAGTATTAGTAGACTCTCTCTCTCTGCTTAAGATCTGCTAACACTTTATTTTTCCCCCAACAGACGTTCTACTGACTATAAATAACTTTGCAACTTCATGTCAACTTATTCTACTCACCCTAACCCTAATCATAACCCTAACCATACAGTCTACTAATACTCTGAGAGTTAGTTGACAAGTTGCAAAGTTACTCATAGTTAGTAGAATGTCTAAAGTGGACTATCGAAATAAGTGTAACCAATTTATTTACATAACAGTTGAATTCTTTGTATTTCTAAACATTTTGTCTATTTTTAGCAAGTGTTGTTGACTTTTCTTTCCTTTTCCGAAACCAGGTAATATAAGTGATCAGATAATAAATAAAAATTTGCTTTATTCCCACTTTTTTCTGACAGAAACTGTAAGCACAGACACAGAGAGGAGCACGTTAGTATTAAGATGGTTTCATTATTCAATTATTGAAATACAATATGAGCAATGTAAAATTAAAATAAATGTGATTAAATCTACATGATGCGTCTTGTTTAGCCCTTATATGTTCATCTTTGTGCTGCTGTCATATCTTTCTATATTCTCTCTTTCAGAAGGCACGTGATGGAGCGTTTCTGTCTGTCACAGAAAGGAAAGCTTTAAGTTCTGCCAGGAAGACTTAATTACTACGTCCCTTATTACCTTCACATCTATCCAATCATGTCCATATACTCGCTGTATAAAAGATCAGTACTTACACATGTTTGAGTTCGCAGATGCTGACGCGACAATTACCTCCACCCTCCCCCATCACCACCAGGACGGTCCTGTCCATACCTCCCGGAGGGGTCGGCTGCGTCCCTGCCTTCGTCTTCAGGCAGGAAATGCAGATCCGCTACCCTCGGATTATGAACGCCAAAGAACTTTGTAAATAATTGCTTGCTGGGCTGTCAATAAATGAATGCTTTGTTACATCGTTATATCTCCCGAGTCTTTCTGGTAGAATTATAGATCACAGGCTGTTCTCTACATTGACCAGAAGGACTTTTGTGTGTAGATAAATAACAGGTTTTGTGAAACTCATTAGAATTGTATTTGTTACTGACTGTTAAGGTTAAGGTTAGCAGTTAGAAGACTTTTGTTCTGCAGTAGGAAGTCCTCAGGCTTGGGCGTCGTGACGTCATTACTTGGCGTGGCGGCCATGTTGACAGCTTCGCGAATGTAAACATGCAGCAAGTCGAACGAGGAGAAGCAGCAGAGTTGGGAGAAAGAAAAGAAAAAAAGATGTTAAAATCCCTAAAAGGAGGTGGAATTTACCGGGATACGTTAAATAGGGAAGCCAGGGACCGGTATGTGGACAAAATCGGCACTTTTAACGGTTTGGATCCATATGAAATTTCCAACAAAGAGTCGGCAAACAGTGGGAACACAGTGATCCGGACAAAGGTATCTTTAAGATGCGCTCCACCTAGCTGCTAGTTTAGTAATCGTTACTGCTAACAACCATTGACACATGTACTATGTGTTTCAAAACTGTAGTTAGTAACGTTAGCTGTCAACCCTCCCGTTTTTTCCGGGTTTCTCATGTATTTGAGCTCTTTTCCCGCTGTCTTCCCGTTTTAGTATTTTCCTGTAAAATATCCCGTATTTTAATACTCTAATAACATTAACGTTAGCCCTTCCATCGGACCTGTCAGTCTCTGTACTGTTGTCCTGTTGCTACCCCCTTGCCCTAAGCATCGTTTTGCTTACTAACTTAAGTTTTGCTTAAAACAGCTACTAACTACACTTTTGAAACACATAGTTAAAAGTATGTTACATGTGTGAATGGTTGTTAGCACTAACTATTTACTAAACTAGCAGCTAGGTGGAGCGCAGCTTACCTTTGTCCGGATTAAGTTACTGTGCTCCCACTGTTTGTTGGAAATTTCATATGGATCCAAACCTTTAAAAGTGCCGATTTTGTCCACATACCGGTCCCTGGCTTCCCTATCCCGGTAAATTCCACCTCCTTTTAGGGATTTTAACATCTTTTTTTCTTTTCTTTCTCCCAACTCTGCTGCTTTTCCTCGTTCGACTTGCTGCATGTTTACATTCGCGAAGCTGTCAACATGGCCGCCACGTCCCAGAATGCAACGCGGCGCCCAAGCCCTATTGCAGTTTATTTTGGCCAGCAGGAAGTGATGGTCTGATTGACATATAAAGTGACCAACCACAGTTCATTTTGTTTTTAAGTGTCATTTAGGCCCGTGGTTATCATAAACCAGTTACTGCAATAATTAAATAATGGCATGACAGACTAACTTATAGAAAATAATTAAGCACTGGTTATTTTACAAACCCAAGTGGAATGTAGAGTTTTTCTAGTTTACTGACTCCAACTAAACTCTGTGACAGTAACCTTGTGAATATATAGTTAATCTAGTGCACTGGTGTGGACTTCAGGTGGACTACAGGTGGACTAATAAAAAATAAAAAAAATAAAAATGTGGCTTTAGTCCCAGCTTTACACAAGTTCTGCCTGTCTTGCCCTTTTGTGTGCAGTTGTCATAGCCTGAAGCTGTCCACCTTATTTTGCATTGCGGAATAATCTGTTTTCTGAATGTGCAAGACTTCTGATTCATTAGCTGCTAAATAACTATAAGAATGACAAAGTGCAGTAAACAGTAAAACTCTTTGCGCTATAAATCAGTGCATTTCTGATTACAATAATGAAATAATATGATAACAGTTTGCAATTTTAAGCAGCATTGGCTATTTTTGTACAGCTCAAATGACTAGACTTGGATGACACCCATAAGCTTAAACACATTCAATTTACAAGCTGCGCACTTCCGTTAAAGACACAGGGGATACGGTTGGGTTCGCTGCAGGACTTCAAATGAACACCGTATGAATTTTGTATGTTAATCTTGAGAGACATTTAGCAGAACCAGTGTAACTGCAAAATGTCTGTTTCTGTCTACCTGCACAACTAACAGAGATGTTCCCACAACTTTCACTTACATTTTGTAAATGTCTTTAAATAACTTTTATAGAATGGTCTTTTAACATTATTTGATATGCATTCTCATGATGTTGAGAAAAAACGTTGAGGTTCTTGGAACGTCTTTAGGCTCACTATTGGCCAGCATCACACGCATCGCTCACATGACCAGCGTCGGCCAATAGTCTCCCGTGCAACAGGCCCGGGTTCGATTCCCGCTTAGAACGGGCGTTCGAACTGGAGGGGTTACACAATCTCTGGCCACTTTGAGTGTAGAAATGATGGGGCACATTATAGAGTTCAATGAAGAAATCCAGTTTTATTTGGCCCCAAGGTTGAGTTGGCCAAGGCAAAGACTCCAGTGGAGGCGGGAACAAGCTGCTCAATGTCTTTGTCCAACCCTGGCCACCATACAAGATCCCTACAGCGCTGCTTCAGTTTGACTATGCCGTAATGGCCCTCATGCGCCATGTCCTCTGAGCTTAGCAGGGATAATGACAGTGTCTACGGGACTAGCATGTGTCATTTCAGCATGAAAAATCATGTTTTGCTCGGTCATACGGCTGGATATCTGTTGTGACTTGAGCTCAGGGCCGGCCCGAGGCATAAGCGAACTAAGCAGCTGCTTGGGGCCCCCCAATCGAGTCGAAAAATCTATTTTTTAGATAACTTAAACAAGTGACATAAATGAATGAATTAATATGAATGAATGAATAATTAAAGAAAAAAAATCTGATTTCATGATCAATATATAGCCTACCTCCCTACAACTGCTGCTGTGTCTGCCAGCGTTTAAAGGGGTCATATAATGCCATTTTTGTACAAGCTAATATGATTCTTTAGGGTCTAAATTAAAAGTTTGTAATATACTTTAATTAAAAATTCTCATTAGTATTGTAAGAAAACACTTATTTTACCTGGTCAAAAACAGCTCTGTTTTCAGCACGCCGTTTCAGTGCATATGACTTTAAATGATCATGAGCTTTGCTCACCCCGCCTCTCTGTGCTGTGCGTACACCGTTTGTAACACAATAACACAATAATAACCATAACACGTTGTTCAGTATAAACGTGGGATTATGCATTATATTGAGAACGTCATACATAGAAAACATGAGAGGAGCAGCTGCAGCTTCTTAGCAAAACCAGCTTTATACCTCCTCGTTTACAAGCAGTCTGGTGTGTGAAATGATTCGCGCAAACATGAGAGCATTGACGTTGCTCGTGGGGAATATTCCCTTCGAAAACAAAACTCAGCCACTGCGTCTTCGGCGGTTCGGATTTAGGAACATCAAAATGACTGTGTTCGTTATTACACCCAAGAACAGAACACCACAATCGCTTAGACGCCATTCTGCTCATAGACAGTGCTCCAGCATATCAACAATGACCGCGCCGGTCCGCGCGGACTATGATTGACAGCTGGCTCACGAGCGAGGGCGGGTCTGTGTTGAAACGTGGCTGTCATTCAACAATCGTGGGAGGGGCGTGCGAGCTTGTGACGTCACACGGTCGAACGACTCGATTTGAGGCAGGGGAAAACATATAAGGAGATTAAAACAAAACCACTGGATGGATTTTTATCATTTTATGATGGCTGTGTACAGGCACTGCCAACACACATTTCAGTACAATCAACTTGTAAAAGTGCATGTACCATTATATGACCCCTTTAAGTCATGCGCATAATCTAGACACCTCGCGCATGCATAGACAATTCGTGCGCAACTGCGCATAGTCGCGGACTCGCGGTAATGTTAAGGCATGTCACAAAAAAGGAGGTATCCCTCTGGTGCCGAAAATAGAACTAAGAAAATGACACAGGAGGAGAAAAAAAGAGCAAGATAAAAGTATGTTTGCATGATTACTAACGGTATGTTTTGTGCAGCAATTGACCCATTCCTATCTACGGCAAGCCCCGAGGGGAAAAATACATTGCATACACATATACAACGAGCGCCAGTACATCGTAACCGGTGTTATAGTAACAGACTTTGTTGGATTCTGTCATGTACAATCTAGTCTCAGCCTCAGACGTCACGCCCACGGAACGTTGGCTAAACGTCTGATGCATATGGTACACTTAACTGGAAACACTTCAGGAATGTCGAAGTCGTCATCTGATTGGTTGAATTTTATCGGATTTCCGGGGGGTGCGAGTGTCGCGTTTATTTTCGGTCTGCCGGGAAACAAAGCGCAGACGTGTGATTGCGGAAGAAAAACTGTTGTGTTTACATGAGTGACAATGAGCATTTATCAAGATCAGCTAAACGTAGGATTCTCAAAAGTATGCGAGGTTCACGGCGTAGACTCTTTAAGAGATGTCCAGGAGTTTTGTTTGAGGCACTTAGTGGAGACAAAAAGAGATATTTTAGCCTGTTTGCCGACGGGATTTGGGAAGAGTATTATTTTCCAAGCCTGGCCGACCCTTTGTCAGCATTTATAAGGATTCCCAGCAGATCCAACTTTACTAGTTGTGTGTCCCCTCCACATAGCTGTCAACCCTCCCGTTTTTTCCGGGTTTCTCACGTATTTTAGCTCTTTTCCCGCTGTCTTCCCGTTTTATTATTTTCCCGTAAAATATCCCGTATTTTTACGCTCTGATTGTGTGAGACGTACATGCTCGGGCAGATTCGGCTTGAAGTCGTTCATCCTCGGATGCGGCGCCGCGCGCGCTGTTACAAAAAAAGCTGTGCACACAGCCAAGCGAAATGGGGTCTTGCCGGTCTTGCGCACCCAACGCGTAATCTTTGCCGCGCTCGTGCGGACGCGTCAAGTATAAACAATTATACTCCGTGTGTCAGCGCGCGCTTTGATCGGTAAAGGAGCACAGACCTCTCCCTAATCATCTCCAGCAGCCCCCGAAGCACCACGTACCGTTTCCCTCGTAAGCTGATATTAGTATTTAAACATTCTCTGATAAAAAATGTTTAAAAAATGACACACTTTCTCTAATACACACACACACACACACTGTCTCTTTCTCTCTCTCACTCATTTGTAGTTATAAACTCTTTAGACTTTTAATGATTAGTGCTTTATTTTTAAAGTTTGTGGTGGGTAAGAATCGTGTAAAAAAATTCCCTTATTTTGGGGATGGATTCCGGGAAATCTCCCTTATATTCAATGTTCAATGTTGACAGCTATGATCTATTATGGAAGATCAAGTGAAATACCTAACTGTGAAGGGGATATCAGCCGCGTTTGCGGGCAAACATGAAACAACAGACGCTGACATCGCAGCAGGCCGATTCAGTATTGTGTTCGGTTTTCTTCTCCTCCTTTGATTTTCTATGCTGAGTCTTGCTGACTGACTTGTTGCACGCCGGTCTGTTGTTGTGGGGACATTTCCACGTGACGCTGAACGAAACGAACTGTAATTGGTTGTTTGACATGTCGGTCAAACGGCCTTATGGGCGGGCCTTGGCCAAAGAAAGCTGCTATGAGTTCCAGACCTTCAGCCGTCAGTCTGAAGGTCTGGCTACGCGAGACTATGTACAATCTAACAAAGTCTGTTACAATAATAATAATTAAAATAAAAAAGATTTTGTGGACAGTTACACTGTATTGAGACAGTTGAGAAATAATAATATTTTTACAGTTTCCAACAATAATTGTCATTGTTGAACCCTTGCTCTTATTATGTTTTTGATTTCTCAGTTTTCTCAAGAGTTAGTAAAAGAGTAAAGTAAAAGTTAAAAAAAATATTTCATACAAATTTAATATAATATAAATTTAATATAAATTTAATATTTATATTTAATACATAAATACAAAATAAGTATTTATTTTGTATTTATACATAACCTCACTGTATTAATTTATAATGTATCATTATTGCGTGACATTTGTGTCAATAATCGTCAAGCACAGGTGACTCCGTGTAGTGGGAGGGGCCCCCAAATCAAATTCTGCTTAGGGCCCCCAAAAGGCCCGGGCCGGCTCTGCTTGAGCTGGCCAGGCATTTAGGATATACTGGCGGACAGAAGAGTGGGTGGAATCAGCAGTTGACTCTTCTGTGAGTTCCTCCAAGGACAAGAAAGCTTTGATGGATGCACACGTTGAATAAGATCCTTGTCCTCAACCATGACAGGAGGCAATGGGTGATGGTGGCACGGGACGGACGTTTGTGATTAAGATCATTAACTTTTCAATTTTTTAATATTCATTTTAATATCAATTAAACTGGCATAGTACTATAATACTATTATTATTATTAATAATTATAATCTTTTCTTGATTTCTCTTAGTTTTTCCCTAACAGACATTATACTGACTATAAGTAACTTTGCAACTATGTCAACTTATTCTACTCCTCATAATCCTATAATCATAACCCTAAACATAGTACTACTCAAATGAGCATAGGTTGACATGTACTGAAGGCACTCATAGTTAGTAGAATGTCTAAAGTGGACTATCAAAATAAAATGTTTATCTGTGTAAAAGAGTTGAATTCATTGTTAAACATTTTGTCTATTTTTGCACGTGGTGTTTTCTTTAGTTTTCTAAAACCAGGTAGTATAAGTGCATCAAATATTTAATAAAATGTGCTTTATAAACAGTAAACAGAGTTTAAATTTTTTTTTAAATGTGCCCTAATGTTGTCATATCTTTCTATCTATTATCTCTTTCAGATGGCACATGATGGAGCGTTTCTGTCTGTCACAGATCAGACTCTTCTCCACATTGACCAGAAGACATTTTTTGTGTGTGTCTAGATAAATAACAGGTTTTGTGAAACTCATTAGATTTGTATTTGCTACTGTTAGCAGTTAGCAGACTTTTGTTTTGCGGTAGGAAGTCCTCATGGACTACTTGCACTGAGCTTAGAAAGTATAATTGAAAGCATATGTTAAACATGCGATTATTTCACCACATGGTGTCAATGCTCGTCTAAACTAGTGACTGCGATGCTAAAGTGTGTGAGACCTGATGAATAACATCAGTACAAACATTTATATATTTTAATTAAATATTGTTATATGTAATGTACATGTTTATGCCCAAAATGCTGAATTATTAGATTGAGATTAGCTAATTAAATATTTAACATCATTAAATTTATGGCACGTACTGCACACCATCACACACAAGCAGTCCTTTTTATCAGTCAAATAAAATTAATTTAAAAATGTAAACTCAACAGGAATTAAATAATATCGGTAGAGATAAAAACACTGTTAATGAGAAGACGAGCACTGGACTGCTGCAGGTTAGTGGGGAAATATATTTATTTACTATCGAATGCTTGGAAAGAAAATGTATTTATAGGAACATTTCAGCAGGTTCAAGATAATTCATGTTAACGCATGCGCTGAATGCTGTTACCGGAAACTTCTGAGTTCTAATAGTAGAATGTTGAAGAAGTTGTCAAAGTCTTCTGATGTAATATTGAAGTTACCCTTGTACATGGCATTTGTTGTAAATAAAGCATTAAAAAAAAAGTTGTGCAAGTCGGCTATTCTAGTAGCCAGGATCCAGCGACGCAGACAGGAAGAGACGGTCTGATTGACACACCAACCACAAGTGACCAACCACAGTTCAGTTTGATTAAGTGTCATTTAGGGGCGGGGTTATCTGAAATCAATGACTGCAATAATTAAATAGTGGCCATAATTGAAAGCCAGCTTTACACACTCTCCGTCTGCACTTCCCCTTTGAGCAGTTTCCTGAGACGGATACTTTCCACCTTATTTTGCAATGTGGAATAATCTGTGCACCCCTTATACACGTGGTCCAAGACATTTGAGAGCATTTCCTCCTCCGTCTATGATAATATGAGGGCAGAAAGCAGAAGATGAGCAGTTGAGCTGCTGTGCTTCAGTGAAAACCTCATACAGGACACATAAGCAGAGCAAACGCAATGGCCGCGTACGAGAAGGCAAACATATTCTACATTTCAATCTGGTTTTGGCTCACTTTAGGTGAATATTTTATGTTGTGCTGTGTTTGTTTAGTGATATTTATTGTAAATCCTGGATATTATAATGGTTTGTGTGTTGTTTAGGTGTTGAATGCTTTAGCGGTTGGTCAAATCATATTGTAACTATTAAGACTGGAGGATCTGTCACCATCCCATGTCATTATGATGAGAAAAACCCACCGCAGAAGAAATACTGGCACTCAGATATTGATCAATCTAATACATACACAAACACAACAGAGGAGAATCTGTCAGTAATTGATCATCCTGATCAGAGTCTCTTTACTCTGACTATGAAAAACCTACAGAACAAACACACTGGATTCTATTATTGTTTAGTGGAGACTGATGGACAGCTGAGTGCTAGATTTCAACTTTATATCCAGGTTCAGTCTGGTATGAGATTTTTATTATGGTTTTAATCACATTCTAATGTCAAATCTGACTTCACACATACAGTACTGTATGTATTTAATAATCTCAAATGACTCTGATTTCAGCTCCTGGTGTGTCTGTGAAGAGCAGCAGTGTATCTGGACATGAAGGTGATAATGTCAGTGTCCAGTGTTTCTACAATTCTGGATATCAGAATAAACACAAACAGTGGTGCAGAATTAAAGATCAGAGCTGTTACACAGTGGGGAGGAATGACACATCCCAGAATTCATCAGTCCAGATCAGTGATGATGGGAGAAGCTCCTTCACTGTGTTGATGACTGGACTGAGACTCAGTGATTCTGGATGGTACTTCTGCTCTGCTGGAGAGGCACTGAATCCTGTTCAACTCACTGTAACCGAGGCAGAACCAGGTAAAACCTATTTCATACTGTATTTAAAAACTGAAAAGTTAAAACTCAATCCATAATTATTACAATAAAGTTTTTGCTGTTAGAGAAAAAAAAACTTTTGTTTTGACCACAGACACCGGCACTGAGAAGGACAAGTAAGAAACAAATTCTCATTATTGTGGCTTATTCTTTTGCAATATCTATACTTCACATGTCTATAACTTTACATAATCAATTTCCAGTCTTCCTTCTGAAAAAATATATGTGAATAAAAATATTTTCTGTAAAGTGAGGGCTTAAATGTGTCCAAGTTAATGTGACAGAGAAACATATTCAGCTATCTCTTGATAGTGTGCTATTGTCCTTTATCTTTTCAGATGGCGTTTCTGTCTGTCACAAAACTAGAGTTTTCTCCACATTGAGCTGAAAGAAAACTGCTTTTGCTTTACACATTCAGATCAGATTAAAGATCTGTGAATGTATTAGAATTTTCGAGCAGAGATCAGAAGACTTTGACAACTACTTTACTTATTATTAGAACTCAGAAGTTTCCGGTAACAGCATTCAGCGCATGCGTTAACATGAATTATCTTGAACCTGCTGAAATGTTCCTATAAATACATTTTCTTTCCAAGCATTCGATGGTAAATAAATATATTTCCCCACTAATCTGCAGCAGTCCAGTGCTCGTCTTCTCATTAGAACTGTGAATTTTCTTGAATGTATTAGACGTCTACATTTGCTAAATGCCTGTCTGCAATGTATTTTTATTCACTATTTTTCTCCAAATGTATTTTTTTTCTTTTATCAAAAGCAAACTATAAATGAGGAACATACCAAATACGACTATAAAATAAAAATAAATGTTTTCCATTTAGCCATTTTTTTTATAAATATGATATAGTACTGACCGCATGCAGTAATGTAATTTTAGCCAGTGACAGTATTTGCATATGTCATCATGTTAAAGGGGTGGTTCAGAATTTTGGGCATCGGGCCTCATTTCCAAGTTAGCCTTAGTGTTATTTATCAGTGGAGACAGTTTTCAAAAAATGTCATCCAGTCGTTCCAGTTGCATAGTTCGCCGGTGCTAGGCTAGCGCGAGTCAACGGTAACTGCTAGCCTGCCATTAAAAACAGTTTTACCCAGTCCACAGTACACCAAAAGCAGATCAATTATAACACCAGACTATCGATGTAAATGTCTGTTGAGAGAATAATGTTAAAAATCAGCATTTGATTGGACAGACAATCTGAGGAGAAGCTGAAGTGCAGAATGATGTCATTAGAATTGTTGGTTGTAGAGAGAAACTATAACTTTTAAATGCATAAATCTTCCAAATGTGAATTGTTTTGAACATACTTAAAAATAACCTTAAGTCAAACATATTCACCCAAAAAAATGAAGTGCCCAATTTCCTCAGCTAATACTGAATATTTGTATGCCACGTATCATGTCATCTGCCTATGCAAGCCTTGTTGGATGTGTTCCCACTCAGTTATTCTCAACTAACACTGCAGACGATGTGTGAAATATGTGTGAATGTTTACAATAACAGAAGCACTGAGAATACCCTTGTTTCTCCTTTTACCATATCTGAGGCTGTTACGTCTTGCATTTGATCAGCATACAAAAAACAATAGAAGCTTTTTCTCTATTGACTTCTATACAGAAAAGTGCTCCATTTCTATACTTTCACATCTTGTTTTCAAGTCATATTAAATTCTGTAGATATGTTTTTCTTGGTCATATATTTCTTTGACCCAACCACAAAACAGACCAAAAATAACCCGTTTCTGAGGTGACATACTGTACCTATAATTGCAAAATGAGAACTAGAGAAGGAAGCATGTGAATCCAGGAGCGGAACAGCTTTGACATTCACTGCATTGCACATTAATACTTCTCATTTCACCAGGTGACACATTTGTAACTTCCGATGCAACATTCACAGAGAGGCTTTTTGACAAGCAACAAGAAAGAACGAATGCAGGAAGTGAGAAAGACTGTAGAAATCTATGATGACTTTAGACTTTATGCTCGTCTCCTTGAGTGAGAAGCTGTGTCTATAGTATTAACCTAAAAATTTAAACTTGCATGGAAATGATGAAGATAGAGAAAGAAGAAACATTGCAACTTTTCGACAGACCGACAGTCAGTTTGAAGAAGTTCATTGTATTTTCCCTTTGGCTCATAACAGGCAAGTGTTCTCTGTTTGCTTACAATTAATTTTACACAAGTTTACATATCTTGCTGTATGACATGCATTTTGTAATTCTTTTATACATTTACCGCTACACAGGGCCGGCGCTCCGCACACGCACATCACGCGCTGCGCGTAGGGCACCAAGTGCTTGGGGGGGCACCAAAAAATCTGGGTCGTGAAAAATCATCACAATAGGCTACTAGTATAAATAACAAATAAAATATGTCTAAAGCATGTTAATCTACAAAAGCAATACAAAAGTAATATAGGCCTAGACCAAATTAGTCGAGAAAAAGGTGAATCTCATTTTTCGTCTCCCTCTGGTGCCCCCCCTTCCCCACCTCCCAGTGGTCTGTTCGATTATGCCTCAATCAATGTCAAATTTGGCAGACACCGACCTCAGACATGGCCTCGGAAAGGCACCAAGAGTCGGGGGCGAAAAAAGGAAAAAGAATAGACAGCGGGATGATACTCGCGCGTCGCTTTGCAGGTAAGACAATGTTTTAAATAAAAATGTTAGTTTTGTAGCGCGGGCGCCCTTGCGTCGTGTATGCATGTCCAGGGGGCGTCGCTAGTAGTGCAAATGATCCGGGGCTTTTTTAGCCCTGCATGTTGAATCTTTTATTTTAACGGGGGTCCGGGGCTTTCTCCCCCGGAAATTTTTTAAACTTGGGCTGTTTAAGATGCAGTTAGTTTGTTTGAGAAGAAAAGGAAGACCGCTTAGATACGTTTTTTCGTTGTTGTTTTATGCGGATAATGCGTTCATTTTCAAGAGGCCAAGGCCCAAGGGCGACATCTGTTGGTGAAACTGCAATTAGAAAAAAAAAAAACCACAATCTCAGTGTTTGTATATTTTCATATTCACAGAGTTGTCAAATTATTAGGGCTGGGAAAAGATTAATCGCATCCAAAATAAAAGTTTGTGTCTACATGATATATGTGTGTGTACTGTGTATAATTATTTTGTATATATAAATACACACACATATGCACGTATATATTTAAGAAATATTTGCATGTATATACTGTATATATTTATATATAATTTATATTATATATAAATTTAAATATTTTATATATAAATAACAAATATTTCTTAAATACATACATGCAAATGTGTATTTATATACACTACCGTTCGAAAGTTTGGTGTCAGTGAGAATTTTATTTTTATTTTTTGGAGGAAAGAAATCAATACTTTTATTTATCAAGGAATAGTTAATTTGATTGAAAGTGACAGTAAAGACATTTATAATGTTACAAAAGTCTTTTGAACTTCCTATTCATCAAAGAATCCTAAAAAAAAAAAAAAAAAAAACTACAACTGACAGACCAACAACTGTTTCAAAATTTGATAATAATAATTAATGTTTCTTGAGCATCAAATCCTCATATTATACTGATTTGTGAAGGATCATTTGACACTGAAGACACTGACACTGGTGATGCTGAAAATTCAGCTTTGATCACAGGAATAAATTACACTTTACTATATATTCACACAGAAAACAGCTGATTTACACTGGAATAATATTTAATACTATAACTGATTTTTGTTGTATTTTTAATCAAATAAGCGCAGCCATGGTTAGCAGAAGAGAATTATTTTAAAAGTATTTAAAATCGTACCGACCCCAAACTTTTGAACGGTAGTGTATATACAAAATAATTATACACAGTACACACACATATATCATTCATGTAGACACAAACTTTTATTTTGGATGCGATTAATCGCGATTAATCTTTTCCCAGCCCTACAAATTATGTACAGAATTATTATATTGTGCTTCATCAGACTAAGAAATTCTGAATGGTTGTTATTCCTTGGGTGGGTGAGGGGGTGAGTGGGGTGGGGGGGCACCACCAAGCATTTGTGCTTAGGGCACCCAAATGGCTAGCGCCGGCCCTGCCGCTACATAAAAGTCAAACTAAAGTTGATCTTTTCTTCGCTCAGGTCCTGAATGCACAACAGGATCAGCAAGCAGAGAGTTAACGGTTCAGACTGGAGGATCTGTCGTTATTCCATGTTATTATGACAGGAATTACACAAAACACAAGAAATACTGGTGCTTTCATGCAAAATC